TATTTTTATTTTATTACAAAACTATTTATATTGGGTTTGTTTTATTTTTATTAATTTTTGAATAAAACCATTACATAATTAATGAAAATTTATAGGTTTAAATATTAGCTGGAGTAGCCCAGTCACAGTCAGTTTCGATACTTAAAAGATTGATACCTTTTTGGATTCTGAAGAAACCTAATTCACCGAAATAGGTACCCCAACTGTTACGACCAATCTATTTATAAAGTAATTAAATAAATGTTTTAATTAGTATATTATTTTTTTATTACACTCGAATATTATTGTTGTTTGTTTTAATTTATATTTACCCAATATTCAACACCGTTTTCTTCACCCCAACCAAGAATTGAGATTTCGTGGTTAATTTCACCAGTAGCACCAGTTGAATCACTGAAAACACCACCAGCATAAGCTTCAAAAGATGAAGTTACTTCCTATAATAATGAATAATTTTATATTAGTTTGATTTCGTCCTGCTATAGCTATTAAATCTATTGTTTTTTTTTTTTTGTTTTTTTTTGAACAATATCCCTAATTTATATCCAAATTAAGTAATCTCTAAAAAATATCTATTGCTATAATTTAATTAAATGATTCTTACCATACCACAAGCAATTGGACCTCTAGCAAAGATTTCTTGCATCATACCAGTGGTACCGTTAACTTGACCGTGTTCTTCGACGAAATAAGTAGTGTAGGTTTGTTGAGCGAAACATTTAGCTTCTGGGTTTGATAAATCAAAGTTACAGTTTTTGCAAATATTTTCAGCAGTACATTCATTATCGATAGCTTCATATGGAGCACAACTATTATTTTTTTTTAATTAATATTTTCCCAAATTATCTATCTATTAATTTAAAATTATTATTATTATTATACATACGTTTCATCTGGAATACCTTTAGCAGCAATATAGGCGTAAGCTTGAGTTGGATCACCACCATCACATGAATCGTCACTACCTAAACAATTTAAAAGAACTTGTGGGGCAAGGACAACTTCTGGGAAAGCACCTTTTCTGGCGATTTTAATACGATCACCGAGGGCACTAGTGGTACCTATTAATTATATTTATATATATTAATATTTATATCGGCAAATATCGGATATATATAGGAAATGAAAAATTCTTACCAAATGACCAACATGAACCACAGTATTGTGGTAAATGTTGATTACGAGTAATTGTAACAAATGATTGACCTGAAACATTTCTCCAATCATAGTTGGTTGGGAGTGATGATTCGTGGATATATTCACTTGGAAGTGGTGATTTAATAATTGAAGTTCTTGGTGCAGTTCTTTTGACACATGTTTGATGGGCTGATGCAAAAGCAACAAAAACTAAAATAACTAATAATTTGAGAATGTGCATTTTATAAAAATAAATAAAAATAAATAAAAAAAAATAAAAAAAAAAAATGGTGTGTTAAAAAAAATAAAAAAAATTATTAAAAAAAATAAAAATTAAAAATAAAAAAAATAAAAAAAAAAAATTTTAAAAAAAATATAAAGAAAAATCTTTTGAATTTTAATTCCTTCTACAGAATTAGAGAATTAATTTGACTATTAAATGACATATTTGAAATAATTTACAACTGAAATTATAAAATTATATTGATTTTTTTAAAATCTTTATTATTGGTTATTTTTTCAGTTGAAAAAAAAAAAAAAAAAAATTTCGGTTTTTTTTTTTTTTTGGTATACCAAAAACACACACCCAATTCCACATATTTTTTATTAATTATAATATTCCTATTTATAGGAGTTAATTTAATTTTTTTATTTATATATAGTTTTTGCTTTATTAATTATATAAAAAATATTAAAATAAAATATATGATTGACATAAAAATTACCATCCTGTAACAAAGTATACCAAAAAAAAAATAAATAACACGATATTTTAAAAATGAATTTCCCCATAATTTGGATACAAAAATCTTATAAAAAAATATTACTGATCAGTAATATATAACTTTTAATTAAGTTTTTTTTTATTTAAACTAGACTTCATCAGAATCGGATTTTTTTTTTAAAAATGGGTTTATTGGTAAGATTTTTACCATATTGTTTCTATTTTGGTTATTGAGCTCAATATCTTGATAAAAACTTATTGAAATCTCTTCTATCTGAATAGCCCATTTTCTAAACTTTTATTGGAATTTAAACCACCTACATTTCTTAATTGATTTGAATCATGTATATTTGGTTCAGAAAAGTAGTTTGGTTTATTTTGGTATTGAGTTTTTAATAATTGGATCAAAATTTACACTCTTTGAATCATTAAACCATTTATCAAAATCCTTTTTAACTTTTTCTATTGGAATAGAGGATGAAAAACGATAAGGATAAAATATTATAAATAATTAAAAATTTATATGATTTTGTTTTGAATTTGAATTTTTTTTTTTTTTTAAATTTTAAATTAAATTTTATGTTTTTAAAATTTGAATTTGGATTTTATGTTTTTTTAAAATTTTAATTGACTAAATTTTTTTTTTTTTCTTTATTATTTTGTCAACATACAAATAATTAATTAAACATATTTATTTTTTACTTCAAATTTTAATAACTGCAATAATTTTATAATTTACAACCCTTCCAAAATAATAATACAAATCACGTTTCCATCACCACTAGTTTATAATTCAATTTAATTAATTAACAATGGATTTTTTAATATTTTTTATTAGTTTTTTAATTATTTGTATTACATTTGGTTTTATTTTTAAAATATTTAAACAACACCAACGACAAAACCAATGACAACAACACCAACACCGACAACATTAACATCACTAAAAACGATTGCTTCAGGTTAAACAATAATAACAACACCTCCTACCCATATCACACTACCCCATTCCATTATATTTGTGCTGCTCCATTAAATGGCCAACAAAATCAACAAAAACAACAACAACAACATCAAACCCCACATTATCCAACTTTTAACCAAACCCATTCCCGTTATACTGCTGAAAGAGCTCCCTTCACCAATCAACCTCAACACACACTACCACAACGTTATATTGGGAATGATTTTGGAATATTATGCACATTCTTCCAATTATCCAACATTTAATAAAGAAGAATATCTATGGGAATTGATTGAGTATTTTATATTCAAACTAATAGAAAAAACAAAATTGGAAATACAAAAACTATTAAATAAATTATCCATTTTCGAAAAAAGTAATTTCTAAAAGATAAAAGTAAATTATTTTATCTATATAAAAAATAATTCATTTCATATTATATAACGAAAATGAAAATGAAAAAAAAAAAAAAAAATTTTCCCCTACACCACAAAAAAAAAAAAAAGAAAAAATAAAATTTAATTAAAAAATGAAATTTACCACTCATGAAATTTCTACAAAAGAAAAAAAATTTTATGTCTTAATTATTTAATTTTATTGTGCTAAAGTTTTTATTATATGAATTAAAGATAAAAAATAAACAGATATTTGTATCTTTCATCTGAAGGTTTTATAGTGTAATTGGTTAGCACCCGGGACTTTGAATCCCGTAATCTGAGTTCGAGTCTCAGTAGAACCAGGATTTTTTAAAGATTTTATCTTTCTGGTGATTGAAGATATAATAATTATTTAAAATAAAGGAAAATATAAATATATTATTGAGATATAATATAGTTATAATTATAACTGTAATATTCATTTAGTTCTAAAATGCATATTAATACATTACAGTTATACTGCAATGTAGATGAAGCTACTTTAATTATAGATATATAAATAATTGAATTTATCAAAAAACAACAAAAATATCGATGACTTAATGTATTATTAAAAATCATCTTCACTTTTAAAAAAAAAAAAAAGATACTTTATAATTATTTATATTACCATCAAAACTCTTAATAAATTAAAACTAAAATAATCATTTTATCAATAAAATATAATAATTAATAATTTTAATAATTTGAAAATAACAATATTTAAAAAAATAAAAAATAAAAATAAAAAAAATAAAATAATTTTTTGAAATTTTTAATTCAAATTTTCGATAACTTAAAAATATCATATAATTTTATTAACTATATTTTTATTTTTTATTAATTTATTTATACTTAAAGTTCATTACATTACAAAAATTTATTGTTCTTTATTATTGAAGAGGCGTGAATAAAAGAATCAATGCAGTCATAAATATAGCACGGTATTTGGACTCATCATAATAATAATATGGTTTTTGAAAGGAAAATATTAAAAAAGAGGTAGTTTTTTTTTGAAATATTTTAAATGAATTCGGTAACGATAATTGGAGGAAAATGAAGATAATGTTAAAACTTTAAAAATTTTTAAATAACAAAAAGAGAATGATTTTGATAATTGCGCACACCAGATACAATGGTTTGTGATACTATATCTTGATTATTAGGATACAATATCAGGGGACATTTGTTCACTTCCTATAGCAATTATTTCGATTACTATAGTCAATAATGATAGGTTCGTTCGTTTTAGGTCAATTAAAGACGCATTAGGAACTCATTTGTATCGGTGGCCTTTTAATATTAATGATATCCCTATCTAATGGTTTAACCAAAGATAAGATGTGTTGTTTTGTATAATTATAATTATAATTATAATTTTTAATCACACAAAGGTGATTGGTATTTGTGTATTTGACCCATACACAGGGTTTGTTTGTTTTTGTGTATTTAACCCATACACAGGGTATTTTTAAGGTTTTCATGGTTTATTACTTTTGTGTATCAATATCAATCTCTTGTGTAATATTATATATTTTTTTTATCTTAAATAAATTCAATATTTTAATATTATTTTTCATCATGGGATTTTTTGATTTTTTGATTTTTTTTTTTTTTTTTAATTTATAGATATTTATTCTTAAAATCTTGAGAATTAATATTTCAATTATTTTTTTTTTAAATTTCATGAAAATTTTTATATTTTTATTTTTTTATTTTTTTTATTAAAACTAAAGCTCATACAAGTATAATACAATAAATAAAAATATTGATCATTAAAAATAATGGTAGTTGTAGCAATTTGATTATAAAATATTAATTAATTTTATTTATTTTAGTTTATTATAGAAACTATTTTTAAAAAGATATTTTTCAATAATGAATGTTAATTGTTAATACTTTTATTTCAATGGATATAATATTAAAATCTTCACTTTAAAAATAAAAAAAAATAATTATAAAAAATTAAAATTAATTTTAATAAATAATAAAAAAAATTTTAATGATTTTACAACAAACTTTTATTATAATTTGATGCAGTTTATATTTAAATAATCTACCAATAAAAAAAAAGAAATAGAATTAGTATTAAAGTTTTAACTAAAATTTTTAATAAAAAAAGAAATAATTGTGGTGATATGGGGGATTGCAGTTATTTAAAAAAATAATTAAAAATTTTTTTATAAACGTGTGAAAGTTGGTGAAACAGGTAAAATATTCTTTATCTACAAATGATATTTCTTTTTAGGTTAAATTGGAATTTATTTTAGATTGGCATCATAATGTTGTAATAAAAAAAAATTTCAAAAAAAAAAAAAAAAAATTTATAAATAAAAAAAAAAATATAAATAGTAAAAAAAATATTATCCTTTAAAAAAAATATTTCTTAAACATAAATCATTAATTTATTTATTATAACATAATTATTATAACATGACTAGAATAGAAGAATTAAAAATTGGGATTGTTGGAGGTGGTCCAAGTGGTTTGGCAATTACCAGAATGTTACAACAAAATGGTTTTTTAAATATCAAGATTTATGAAAGAGATAAAAATCGTTCTTGTAGACCACAAGGTGCTTCCATTGATCTTTGTAAACATTTGGGTCAGAAATTAATTAAAGAGGCTGGGTTAAAAAAAGAGTTTAGTTTAAAATCAAGACCAGAAGGAGAGTGTTATACTTTTATGGATACACAAGGTAATGTTAAAGCAAGAAGACCATTTTTAAAAATAAACTCCACAAGACCTGAAATCGATAGAGGTGATCTCCGAGATATTTTACTAGACTCATTATTTGAGAATACCATTGAATGGGATTGCCATTTTAAAAATTTAAATAAACTAGACAATGGTCAAGTAGAGTTGGTTTTTAATGACGGGGAAAAAAAAGAAATTGTAGATTTTGTAATTGGTTGTGACGGTGTAAATTCAAAAGTAAGAGGTTATATCACTGATATCAAACCTCTTTATTTGGGTATAACCATGATAGAGGGTGAAATCATTGACCCTATAAATACATGCCCTCAAATGTACGAACTAGTTCATCAAGGTTTATCTTTCACTTTGGCAGATGGAATTGTTTTCTTGGGTCAACAAAAAACCGATGGGAATATGCTCATTACTATTGCACAAATGGTACCAGAAGACTGGATAAAAACCAAAGGATTTGATTTTAAAAGTCTTGATAGAATGCAAGAAATTAAAGATTATATAAAAAAAGAATTGATTCCTAACTGGGATCCAATGTATCATAAATTAGTTGACGACTGCTCTGGATTATATAAACCAAGATTGTTACTTCAAGCTCCATTGGATCAAAAATGGGAATCCAAATCTAACTTAACAATTATCGGGGATGCAGCACATGCTATTTCTCCATTTGCGGGGCTCGGTTGCAATATCGCCCTATATGATTCTTTAAAACTAGGCAGATTATTAATTAAAAATAAAAATAAAATCTCAACTCCAATAGTTTTGCAAGGTATAATTAGTTCATTTGAAAAAGAAATGATATCTTTCTGGAAACCCTTAGCTCTTATTACAATGTCCAACGAACAAATGGTTTTTAAAGCAGATACCAAAACACTTTTAAAAAAAAGATTTGGAAATTTATATTTTACAAAAAATTACCTACAATCAATCTTTAACTTTGTAAATAATTTTACCGATTTTTTAAAAATAACAAGTTAATTAATATTTAAATAAAAAAAATAGTTTTGTATATTTTTAGTTTTTTTTATTTAGAATTTTATTTAGATATTAATAATCGTGTTTAATGATTAGAAATTAAATTATAGAAAAAAATGAATGAAATTATATAAAAAATTAAATCTGATCAATTTTTTATCTTATAAAAAAAAAAAAATTAAAAATTAATTAATTTTTGGGTTATTTTTTTTTTATTTTTTTAATTTATTTTTATTCATCTTTTTTTTACATTTGAAATATTAATAATTTTTTTAATTTTATAAAAATGACAGAAATTGAAAAATATACAGAATCAGTTACAGTAGTTGATCATCATTGTCATAATGTGTTGGATCAACAGGGTTTTGAATTGCCCCTATCTTTTATATTAAGTGAGGCAAACTCATTAGATAATCCAATATTTTTAAACCAATTAAAGGTAAATATTATAAAAAAACAAATATTGTTTTTATTTTCTCCCAGAACTAGGTCCATAAACTAAGTCTTTTTTTAATCTAAACTTTAACAAATTAAATTAGAGTACATTAACATTTAAAAGAAGTATAAAAGATTTATATCATTTTTATTTTGAAAATATACCATTGCAAGTAGAATCAAACAATAACTATGACACAATAATAGAGCAGTTAATTGCAAATAAGAGAAGAGAATTAGGTATGGAAAATATTATGAAGATGGTGTTTGAAAAATCAAAAATAGAAGCAATCATTTTAGATGATTCTTTAAAATTTGTATATAATCAAATTGAATTTCCGATAAAGTCAAATCAATGGCACAATAAATTTACAAAGATATTCAAGATCCTTAGATTAGAAACCATTTTAGAAAAGTCATTAATAGAATGCAAAAAACAACAAATGTCATTTATGTCATGGAAGAATTATATTGAAAAAAAAGTAAGAGATCCAATAGAGTCAGGAATAGATACTGAAGACGGAGTCAGAGTAGTCGGATTTAAATCAATTGTAGCATATAGAACTGGATTAAAAGTTGAAAACCCATCTATTCAAAAGGTTATGGAAGAGTTTAATGCAATCATGTCATCTATAGAATTAAATGATATTTCAGGCACACAATTAAGAATCGCCAGTAAAACATTAATAGACTTCTTCATTCATATTACAATGGGCGTATGCTCAGCATCAACTAAACCTCTACCTCTTCAAATTCACACTGGTTTCGGTGACAGTGATCTTAACATGGAAAATTCAAATCCTCTCCTACTAAAACAACTTATTGAAACCTACCCTACTGTACCAATTGTATTGTTGCACTGCTCCTACCCATATACCAAAGAAGCAGGTTTCCTTGGGTGGGTTTATCCAAATGTATATGTAGATATAGGTTTAGCATTTCCTTTACTTTCTTATCAAGGTATGAAGAGTACATTCGACCAGCTATTAGAACTAACACCAATCGATAAAATAATGTTCAGCTCCGATACTCATCATGTTCCTGAATTTTATTATTTAGCAGTAAAATATTCAAAACAAATCATTTCCAAAGCATTTTCGAAATCAATTAAAAATAATGAAATAACTTTAAATGAAGCCAAAGAATTTATTGATAAAATATTTAAATTGAATGTTTTAAAACTATACAATTTATAAAATAAAATATAAATAATTAACTATAGAATTTATTAAAATTAATTTATTAATTTTATTTAGTATTGTCTTTTTTTTTTTTAAAAAGAAAAAATAAAAGAAAAAAAAAAAGGAAATGAAAAAAAAATAAAAAGGGATACTATTTCTTTATCTTTTTTTTTTCATCTTAAAAAAAAATAAAAGAGTTTAAATAAATTGAACCTTTAGTTTTTTTGTATTACTATATTATTATATTATTACTATAAATATTATTGCTATTGTTATTGTTGTTATTATTATTTTTATTATTCATTATTTTTCTAATTTTTTAACAACATTATTATCATCAATCTTTTCTTTTTCAAATTGAATTGGATTTTGTGATTCATATTTTAATTTTAATTTTTCTAATTCTTCAATTAACTTCTTTTGTTCCTTAATTGTTTTTTCTTGTTCTTCTAGCTTTTTAATTAATGATAGGTCCTTTAAGATAAAGAGGAAGATTAATTGGTCATCATCCTTTTCGCTTGAAATTTCTTTAATTAATATTTGAATTGGAAGGTTGATTTCTTTGTTATTTGATGCGTCAGAAGTGATACAAGAGGTTTCAAAGAATCGATCGCTATCCTCTTTGAAATATCTATTTTTATTTGAAAAGTAGTTGGTTTGAACAGCAGTATAGAAAGAAGATGATGGTAAATCCTTTAGGAATGGGAAAACTGACATTATATTAATTGAAGATAATTGTGATACTGATGCTTGACCAGAGCTATTACTAGGTAAGAGGACTTTAACAGCTTTGGGATTCATATCGACTACTGAACCTGATCTATCTACTGTAAGAATTGGATTATCTGAACTCTTTGAAATACTTGATGAAATTAAATCTTTGAATTGTGATACTTTAGCCTCTTCATTTTTACCAATATAAACTCCCAATAAATTTGCCATACTAATGAGTGTATTTTGCTCGATGGGTGAATACTCTCTTTCAATAGTCGAACCTACAACAACAAATCCATAGAATTTTTCGTTGAATGAGCTGATATGTGTTGCACTAATACTTTTAATACCAAATGATTGAAGATATGGTGTGAAATATTTGTGGAATAAAATTGAAAAGAATGCAAACGATCCGTTGCTGCCATTATAGGTGTCCCAAAAATCGTTTGGTAATGTAAAAGTTGATAACTTTTTAACGTCATCTGGTACGCTGCCATATTCGTTATTGTAGACTGCCTCAACATTCATTTCAAATCTGTTATTTGGATTAATTTTAAATAAAACTACCGAGCTTGAGTTTAAAGAAACTGATGCTGATTTTAAAACCATGTTTATAAAATCGTCACTATTGTTTGAAATACTATTATTACTATTATCATCATTATAATTTAATGATTGTGGCGATTGTGGTACTGATTGTTTAGAATCATATAAAGTATCCATGAGTTTATTTGAACATCCAACTAACTCTTCCTACAAAAATATTTAAAAAATAGTTAGTATACTATTATTATTATTATTATTAATTATTGTTTATTATTTATTATTTATAATTAACTATATTTTCATACCTGTTGTTTTGTATATGACACCATTTCATGATGTGCAAACCACATATCAGTGACATCAATACATGAGCCAACGAAACCTAAAAAATCACCACTTGGAGCATAACGAGGATGACCAGTATCCAATACCCATCTATATAAGCCATCATAACGTCGTAAACGATATTCCATCTTGAATGGGCTTTTTTCATTGAAATGTGAAATATAAACTGATATACAATTCTCTAAGTCATCGGGATGAACACCTTCAGCCCAACCATTACCTAATTCTTGCTCCATAGTTCTACCTGTAAAATCTAACCATGATTTATTAAAATAAAAACATTTCTTATCTTTTCCAGAAATCCATAGTGAAAATGGTGCTGAGTCAGCAATTATTTTAAAGTTTTTTTCTGCTAATTCAATTTCAGATTCCATACTTGTATACTTTTAATACTTTTAAATTTGTTAATTAATTTACTTTATTTATTATTTCTATTATTATTTCTATTATTATTTCTATTATTATTGTTGTTATTGTATTATTGTTTTTATGATATAATGAAAATTTTATTTATAAGTTTTTAAATAAAAAACAAAAGATTTACCAATTATTTGAAAAATAATTATAAAAATTAAAAAAATTAAAAAAATTGAAAAAAATTTTATTAATATAAAAAATAAAAATTGAAACTACAAATTTTTAAATTAGATAAATTATGTAATTTTTTTTTATAATAAATATTTTATTATTATTATTATTATTATGAATAATGGAGTTTTTAATGATTAAAATAAACAAACAAATAAAAAAAAAAATAAAAAAATAAAATTTAAATAAAAACAAATAAGTGTTGAGGATGTGGTATTTATTTTGTGTTGTTTCTGTGAATGGATCAAACAAAAAATAATCTTTTGAAAAAAAAAATTTGGAAAATGAAAAAAAAAAAATTAAAATAAAAAAAAAAAAAAAAAAAAAAAAAATTTTTTTTTAAATAAAACAATTTTTTTAATTAATTTATTTCTTTATTTAAAAATATTAGCCATATAAAGATTTAAAATATGCTAACTTTTATAAAATTTTAAAATATACTAACTTTTATAAAATTTTAAAATATAATTAAAAAAAAAAAAATTTAAAATAAAAATAAAAAAAAAAAAATTTAAACAAATAATAAAATAAAAATAATATTATAAAAAAAATAAAATAATTTTACTCTAATAAAATAATTTTTTTATTTTTACATTTATTAAAAATGAAAAAAAAAAAAAAAAAAAAAAAAATTAACAAATGATAACAAAAATAACCCAAAATAATCTTGTGGCCCAGTGAACATTTAAAAAATAATGTATTAAAAATTATCTGTTATATCTAGATTTATGATAACATTTTAATTTTATTATTTTAATTATTATTATTATGAGTAAAAAAATGAAAATAAAATGGTGGTGTGTGGGAAATTTTTTTAAATTATACATAGATTTCATAAAAAAAAAAGGGTATAAAAGGAGTTTTGTAATATTTTTGATATTAGTTTTTTATTTTTGTAGTGGTTTATTTACATTTGACTGGAGCTGTTTTAGTAATAATTAAATATTTTTAATTATTTCTATTATGATTTTAGTGATAATATTTGCTTAATTTATCCGTGTACATTATTGTTATTATTAGTATTGTTATTATTATTATTATTATTAATATTATTAATATTATTATTTATTCCGCGTTGGGCACCGCTCATATTAATGTTACCAAGATTTCTATTTACACCACCAATTGGAGAGGATGGTTGTGCATTATTGATATTATTATTATTATTATTTTTTGGATTTTTAATTTCAACTATATCATCTTGAATTATAATTTCTTCAGGCATTTGGGTATTATTAGTGTTATTACTATTATTAGTACTAGTATTATTATTACTTATTAAAATTGGTGAGGAGGATGATGATGAGTTATTTTGATTTTCACCATCATTAGAAATTTGAGGGTTTGATGAAGTGGTAGTAGTTGTGGTGGTTTGATTATTTATTGGCTCTTGACTATTACCATTATTATTATGTTGTCTATTTATTGAACTACTAATTGTATTATTAATATTATTCATATTATTATTTATAAAATTGATTGTATTTAAATTATTTTTTTTCCCTCTTTTGTTTGGATTACTAATGAAATTACTGATATTGAATTTTGGAATTGAACTATTTGAAACTTCACCATTAAAGTGGCCATAAGAGATGTTTGCTAAATGAATTTCTTCCTCGGTATCTTCAATAAGAGCTTTAAGATGAGCATTAACACAACGTTGTAATGAGTTGTTCTTTTCGATACCATAGCCACCTTCTAAAACTGAAACAATTCTACCTTTACAATATTTGAAAGCAACAGTTTTAATCATTTTAGTGATGACAAAATAGTCCTCTTCATTTAATTTCAAACCATTGGTTGGGTCATCTTTATGACCATCAAAGCCTGCACTTAAAAAGATTAATTGTGGTTTATAAGCTTCGAGACGAGGAATAATTTTATTGACCCAATGATTAAGGAAAGTTACAGAACCAGTGTTTCTCTTGAGACCAATGTTAAGAATATTACCTTCATATTTACCACTGACTTCATCTGGTTCAGCTCCAACATCTTGACCTGTACCTGGATAGAAATAACGTTTTTCATCACAAACATGAATTGAGATGAAAAGGAAATTATCATCACCACTTAAAATTTCCTGAGTACCATTACCATGATGAACATCGAAATCGACTACAGCGATTCTACTATAGCCAGCAGTTAATGATGCATACTTGGCACCAATGGCAACATTGTTGATTAAACAATAACCTTGTGAAGGGGCATCACTAGTACGACCATAACGACCTGCATGATGGCCTGGTGGACGAATAGCACAGAAAGAACGAGTGTAACCAGCTCTTGATACAGCATCGACGGCAGCACAGACTGAACCTGAAGCTCTTAATGCAGCCTTCATTGAAAGATGTGAGACAAATGTATCATAAATGTTATCATCATCACCTTCAAAGTCTTTATGAGAGGCAACAGTAACCATTGCACCAGATTTATCACTTTCTAAATGGGTTTCAAATTCTGAATTTTCTGGTGGTAAAGAGGTTTCAAGCTTTTTAATATAGTTGGCATCGTGAACTGCCATAACATAACGCATATCTACCTCTGGTGGATTATCTAAAATATCAACCAATGGATTATCTGCATACTCGTTGATACAACCAACTGTAACTTGAATACGATCTGGTTTCTCTAAATGGAAATTTGGTACCTTGTGTTTCATACAGAGCTTGTGATAAATTGCAAGGGTTTTGAATTTTTCAATTTTTGGAATACCTTGTGCTGGTTGGTCCATAATTGGGTTACCTTCTCTATCATATAATAGTGATTGAACACGTGGAATTTGTAAATCCAATCTATTTTGTAACATTTGTAATTTATTATTGATAAGTTTTTCACATTCGCTAACTTTAGTTTCATAAAAGTAGTCATGAATCCAATAAATTGATTCTACCATATTAATGATTAATTTTAGAGCATAAACTTCATTTTCGAGGGTAGCTTGTTGGGATTTGGTTTCTTTTTCTTTGTTTGAAATATTGTTTTTAATGAGTAACATGTCAACTTTTAAATCATTAGACTTCTTTTGAAGAGTATCACGAATGGCCTCATGAGCTGCAATGGCACCACGAACTTTAGAGAGCGAGTCTAGTAATTCAACTTCTTGGAATTTAAATTTATGAATTTCACCAAGATTGGTTTTAATTTGCTCGTCTATCTGTTCAATTTCACTTGTGACTTTATTGCTTCTAACGGTTTCTTCGACAATTGTGAGCTCTAGGTCACGTTGATAATCGGCAACTGAGCGAAGGGCCATTTCGATAGAGTAGATGAGGGAGTTTCTGGCGGAGCAGCACTCTTTACCAATGAGGCCTGCAGTTTCATGGTTATCAAATACCATAGTGATAGCTCTATCTAATGGAATATTTTGGGAGTTATTGGTCATATTTTCTAATTCTCCTTCTTCGAGGCTTCTAATTTCTTTGTACATTTCCATAATAGATTGAGAAGAACCAAGATTTTTCTTTACAAGAGTGGCAAGGTCATCAATCATTCTCCAAACTAAATCATAATTTGATGACCAACGAATAGTTTTAACTCTCATAACATTTTCAACGAATGATTCAACTTTTTCTTTAATTCCATCTGGGGCATTTGGTGAGAGTGAGGCAAAATATTTAACTGCACTAAAAGCTTGATCGATGAAATTGTCAACTGGTGTTTCTTGTTGTCTAGCTGGTGATAAAACTGATTCTGGTTGAGGATTACTCTTTAAAAGACGAGCTTGTTGATGAGTTTGTTGTAATTGTTGTAGTTGTTGTCCCATTAAAGTGTTTGGTGATGGTGGATTATGTGAACCAACTGGGAAACCTTGTTCATGAACAACTTTACCGGTGGTTGGTGATGGTGGGGCACTATCATCTTCTTGTTGATTCTTTTTCTTATATTTTTTAGAAACATCAAATGTAATATCATTATTGATCTTCTTTCTTAATCTTTTATTTGGTTGTTGATTTGGTGAAATAGATGGATCATAGCCTTGTTGTTGTTGTTGACGTTTTTCTGGTGTGATAACACCATTACTTTGAACCTCTTCCAATGCTCTACGATATTTTCTTCCAATTGATGGTAAACCTGGGTTAAATTGCTCTTTTACCCAACGTGTTCTTTCTTTTTCTTTACCCTTAATTTTAACAAATTGACACACCCAACATACCCATTTGTTTCCAGTGACTTGATTATTATGTTTCATAGCGGCAATTCCTACACATTCATTACAAAAACCAAAGCTGCAATTATTGTTGGTACAATGTTGTAATTCTTTCTTATCACCACAAATTCCACAAACTTTATCTTTGGCACCAGTACTTTCATCTGCAACAAAATCTCCTCTTTTTAATGCATCACTAATTCTAATCTCGCTTTTAATAGCATGAGTTTTACATGTTGGAATTAAACATGGTCTAAGAATTTTCAATGATCTATCAGCCTTGACACAACCAACGAACCAACATGGTCTTATCTGCATTTAGTATTAAAACTGTATTAGTATAAAATAAAATATAGGATAGATATATTTTTATAAACTTACATCTAATTGACTTGCTTGTGATTTGTTCTTTGATTTGTTTTTACTTTTTTTCTTTGAATCATCGTCTTCATCGTACTCTTCATCGTCAAAATCTTCATAGACAACTTGAATATCAGATGTTTGTAGTAAACCACTCCCTTTAGCTTGAATATATTGTTGTAATTGAATTCTTTTTCTTTCTTCTGATCTTGATCCAGTATTATTGACACTCTTTGGACGACCTCTTTGTGGTTTGTCTGATGTTTCGGATTTATTGATAGATCCCATTTGTTGAACATCCATTGACTCATCTTCATCGCTCTCTATCTCTTCTGAAGATTCACTATCCTTTTCTTCATCATCTGATCTTTGTCTTTTATTTTTACTTATTTGCGAGCCTGCATTTGATTGACGTCTACCACCTCTATTGTTGGTGCCTTCTGGACTATAAGCAAGTGGTGACTCTGATGATTGATTATTATTTGAACCCATTAATTGTTTCATTTTCGATTGATTTGATGGTCTCTATAGAAAATTAAAAATAATATTAATATAAATATTTTAAAAGAAATTTTTTTTATTCCCATGGGAAAATAATAAACTTACACCTCTTCTTCTTGTTGTTGTTTGTAAATTTTGCTCTCTTTGATTGGCCTCCTCTTCCTCCTCTTCCTCTTCAACAGAGTCTGTATAGCCATCTTCTTCCTCATCACTTTGCTCCATTTGATCCTTTTCTTTTTTGTTAGGTTGCTTCTTGCCACCTCTATTTTTTTGTGGTTGTGGAGGTTCTTCTATCTCCTCTTCCTCTTCTTCGTTTTCGTTCTCCTCTTCGTTCTCTTCTTCAATATCTTCATCTATATCCTCTTCATCCTCCTCGTCCATATTGGTATCTATATTTCTGGTGGTGATGGTTTCAATTTCATAATTTTCGTTCTCTTCATTTTTGCCTGTATTTTCATTTGTGGCATTATCTACATTTTCTTCATCTTCATTTTCTATTTTATTTTTGGCTGTATCTGTTGATGACATTATTACTATATTTTATTAAGATTGTTTATTATTTATATTGGTTTATTGTTATTTATATTGATTTACTATTATTTATATTGACTATACAATTGATAAATCTATTTTAAAAATTTTTTTTAATATAAAAAAAAAAAAAAAAAAAAAAATTTCTTTATGGAAAAAAACTTGGAACTTTTTTAAAAATTTTATATATATTTTTTGTGGATAAAATAATATTAAGAAACTATTGTGTAAAGGGAAGTTTGGAATAAAAAGAATACAAAATTAGTAAACAATATACTTTATTTTGGATTTATTTGTTTTTGTTTTATAATTATTTGTGGAAAAAAAAAAACAAGATTTTTGGAAAATGGAAATGGTTTTTGTCAAAATAAAATAACTAAATAATGTTTTATGGCAGAGGTTCCAATTTTTTCAAAATTTAATTATTATGGTTTTTTAAAAATGTTGTTGTTATTTGGTCAAAAATATAATATTTATAATAACCTTTATAAGATAACGTTTTGGTGTGGAAAAAAAATCCAGCTTTTATCTTTTTTTATTTTAAAAAAAAAATTTTTAAAAAAAAATTCCAAAAAAAAAAAAATTAAAAAAAAAAAAAAAAAAAAAAAAAATTAAAAAAATAAATTAAAAAAATTAAAAAAAAAATAAAATTTAAATAAAATAAAAAACAAATATAAATGATAATTAAACTTATTTAGTTTTCTTTAAATAACTATAAATTAAGATATTTGAGTAGTAATATTTTATTTTTGATAAATGTTATTTATTTCTTTTATTTTTATGTAAAAAATAAAAAAAAAAAAACAATTGTATGATCAAAGAGCCAGAATTTTTTTTTTTTGATGATATATTGGGTTCCTATGTTTAAAAATATATATTATAAATTTAAACAAAACAAATATGACACAAAAATGAGGGAAAAAAAAAATAAGAAAAAAAAAAAAAAAAAATAAAAAAAATAAAAAAAAAAGATAATATCTTAAAAATTGATGAGAAGATATTATTTCTTAAGTTGACCAAAAAAAAAAAAATCAAAATAGAAATAGAAATAGAAATAGAAATATAAATAGAAAATGGAAAATGGAAAATGGAAATAAAAATATATTTTACAACAATTGTAAAATGAAGAAACATATAAAATTTATTTGAACAAAAATAAAAAAATAAAAAAAATCGTAAAATATTTTCCAGTTAATCCATTAGATGGTTTTACCATGGATAACCCTTTTTGAGCAATATGGATATGGAAATGATTGCAATTAAAACACAAATACAGATTAAATTTTAACAAATATACAAAAGTAAAAAAAAGGAGGATTTCTTTTAATTAGGAAAGTGGTCCTTATTTACAACATTGAAAATACATACAAAAATAAAGAGAAGGGGTTGATATTTAAAATTATTATATAGTGATAAAAATACACTGAATGTGGAATGTTTTACAATTAAAAAAAACTATATGATAATTATTATAAGATTTATAAAAAAATATTTGTGTTATATTCCTTTTTTAAAAATGAATGAATGAAAAAAAAAAAATTTTTAAAAATTTTTTTAAAAAAAAAAAAATGAAAAAAATGAAAAAAAAAAAGATTTGATAATTTTATGATGATTTTTTTTTTTTTGGTTATGTGAGAAAAGTATTAATATACCCATGATTTAGAAAAAGAAAACAAAAAGGATTGATTTTTATTCCATTAATATGGAAATAAATATCAGGTTGTTTTAAATGAGTTTACAAATACAAATATTTAATAAAAATAATATTTTGACTAAATAATGGTGAGTAAAAGTTGACCGAAAAAAAATAAAAAAAAAAGTTGGTAAACAAAGGTGGAAATGATTAAAAAATAAATAAAATTTATAACCAATAGTGGAAAATAAATATATACTATTGACTATGTATTGTTGTTATTAGTGCGCCAGAGTGGCGGATGCAGAGAAAAGTATGTATTCTAAAATTATTAAATTTCCAGAAATTCTATTTGTAAAACAAATAGATGTGTTTAAACAATTGTTGAAAAAAATAATTATTGGTTTTATTTTAATTAAATATAGGTGGGTGATATAAATCCCCCTTAAATATATTTACCTTTTTTTTTATTTATTAAAATTTTAATTGTGTTTAAAAATTGTACTTAATGTAATTAATATCTTTGAGATAAACGCACTTTGAAAAATAATTTTTTTTTATTTTTTTTTTTTTTCAAAATAAAATTTTTTTTAAAAAACAAAAAAAAAAAAAAAAAAAAAAAAAAAAAAAAATAATAAATAAAAAAAAAAAAATAAAAAAATAATAAAGTTAATTAAAAATAGAAATATTTTTATATTAAGTATGGGACTTTAATAAAATTTTATTTTATTGTAGGAATGGGTGTTTTTTTATTAATTTATTATTAACATATAGGTGGTTTTTTATATGTCCTATTCTTTTAAATATAGTAACATTTACTCTGCTCTTCCAATCCTTTTGGAGGCTCTTGTTTCCAATTTTATTTAAGGTTGGATGGCGATCAAAGAAAAGGTAAAGTCAACTAATCCAAATCGAAATAATATTTCCAAAATTCTTATAATAAATATATAACAACTCCCATTTAATATAGCTCCCATTACCCATATTTAAATTATAATAAAAAATAATATAAACAAATATTTACTTTAATTTCTTTCTATTTCTATTTTGGTAAAATTAAAGATAAAATAATAAAAAATAAAATAAAAATAAAAATTAAAAAATAATAAATAAAAAATAAATAAAAAAAATATTATATTATACTAAAATATTTATAAAATAAAAAATAAATAAAAGTCAAAAAAAATATTATAAAAGATGTACAACCACAATCTTGATTATATAAAAAAAAAAGTAAAAAATAAATGTTTTTTTTTTTTTTAATTTTCAATTTTTTTTTTTAAAATTTTAAAAAAATTAATTAATTATTCATTTTTATTTAAAAATGAATCAAAAAAACTTAGAATTATGCAAGGGTTTAGTAAAATCAAATTATGTAGATCAAGCTATACAAGGTACATCACAATTTAATAAAATAATAGAATCATTATTAATTCATGTAAATTATTCATTTACAAATATAAATCAAAAAAACTCAAAATAAATCAAAATCAAAACAAAACACCAACTTCTAATATTAATTTTTTTTTTTTTTTTTAGAGAAGGCTACCAGAGATTGGATATAGTGATAAAGTGATCGAGTTGATTTTAAATGAAATATCAATGATGGATTCAAATAATTTTATAGAAAATATAGGTGTCGGAGAAAGAGAGGGAAGAATCTACAGTTCATTGGTCGAAAAGAGACATTATGGGTTTTCACATGGTATTGGTAGAAGTGGTGATATAACAGAGCAACAGCCAAAAGCAGCAGGTTCAAGTTTAATTCAAAAATTGGTACATTATTTGGTTTTGGACGCAATGCGGATCGCAGGACTAGAGTCACAGGCCGCTTCAACATGTTTATTATTACCAATGGCAACTGGTATGACATTGTCGTTGGCAATGATGACACTAAAACAAAAATCCCAAAGTAATGCACGTTATGTAATTTGGCCAAGAATAGATCAAAAATCATGTTTAAAATCAATTGTTACAGCAGGATTAATACCAATAGTTATAGAAAATAAATTAGAGGGTGATATGATTCGTACCGATTTGGATGCTATAAAGTCTAAAATCATAGAGTTGGGTCCTAGTAATATATTATGTGTATTTAGTACTACAAGTTGTTTCGCACCAAGGGCACCTGATCGTATTGTTGAAATCAGTCAACTTTGTAAAGAACACAACATTGGTCATATAATTAACAACGCCTATGGTTTACAATGCTCTAAAATTCTCCACGCTATTTCTCAATCGTGTAAACTCGGTCGTGTAGATGCCTATATTCAAAGCACTGATAAGAATTTCATGGTTCCAGTGGGTGGAGCCATCATCTCAGGTCCAAATAAAGTTTTTATTGAAGATATCGCTAAAAACTACCCAGGAAGAGCAAACTCATCACCCATCCTAGACGTATTTATCACACTTTTGTCAATGGGTAAAAGTGGTTGGTCAGGTTTATTAAAAGAAAGAAAAGAACTATTGGTATATTTCCAAGATCAACTTGGTAAATTGGCAAATGAATTCAATGAAAAACTATTATCAACAATCAATGAAAATAAAATTAGTTTTGCATTTTCATTGAAAAATTTTAGTAGCAACAAAAATGAACAGCAATTAGAATCAGAGTTAAACAATAACAACAACAATAATAACGACTACTCTCCTTCAATGTTAGGTTCACAATTATTTTCACGATCATGTTCTGGTGCTAGAGTTATCGACCTTTCTAAAAATAAAAAAGCAATTGTTGGTGGTTTGGAGTTTAATTATTATGGTTCCCATATAGACGGTTACCCAACTTCATATCTAACAGTTGCATGTGCTATTGGTGTCACTAAATCCGAAATAGATAAGTTTATTCAAAGACTTTCAAAACTATTAAAAAAATAAAGTTTAAATCTCCAAGTTTATTTTTATTTTAACCACCCACATCAAATTTTAAATAATTTTTTACCAACTACAAAATATTGGATTGGTTTTCAGTTTTCTTTTTATTTTTCTATTTTATTTCGTTACAATCAATCCATATGTGCAAAGAAGATCACATCCTTGTTATATAATTATTTACTAGGAAAATTCCATTTTGGTTTATTAAACAATACCCCAATTTTTTTTTTTTTTTAATTTTTTAATTTTTTTAATTTTTTTATTTTTAATTTTTTTTTCAAATCTTTTCATTTTTTTTTTTTTAATTTTATTAAATAAAGCTTTAAATAAGTAATAATAGATTTCATATAAACCACAATAATAACTATAAAATGAATCAAAATCAAAATCAAGGGATACCAATACAATCAAGAGGTGAGGTCTTATTTAGAGATCAACAATTTTTTCAAAAACAAATTGATTCAAAGATTATGCAACTATTAGAAAATTACCACAATATAATAAAAATAGCAAAAATAAATGATCCATTAAAAAACTCAAGTGAGGTGTATGAAATGGAAACTAGAACTACAAATATGGTATGTAGTAATAATAATAACAATTTATATATTACTATGTTTTATTTTATATTAATGTAAATTAATAATAGTTAAATGCAGGTGAAGGTTTATTAAAGATTGTAGAAGAGTTAAAACAAAATTCAATTTTAAATGATTTCTCAACAATGGCAGAAGAGGTTAGACTACAAAATTTAGTTTATCATAAAGAAAATGAAAGAACAAATAAATCAATCAAATTAATTTCAGAAGAGTTATCCAAGTCATTAAAAGAATTAGAGGATGAATATTATAACTCTAGTTATAAAATACCACCAATTCATAGCAATAAATAAATAAATAAATATATAAATTAATAAAATAAAATAAATATCTAACAACCAACAACCAATAACCAACAACTGACAACCGACAACCAACAATAATAATAATAACATGATCATCATTTATTACATAAAACGAAAATAAATGTATTTTTCATTCTGTACAGCACTCCAATTATAGTTTTCAAATTTCCTCGTAAATATCTAATAGTTTTTTATTTATTTTTTTTTTTTCTAAACATTAACAAAAAAATCACCCACCATCACTGTTTTTTTTTTGAACAATTGAAGTGTTTGGTTGGTTTATAATAAAAATAATTTTTTTTGATAAATATCCAAATCCTCCACCTCGTTTTTATTTTTTTTTTAAAATTTTAAAATTTTTTTTTTATACAATCACTTTGCTATTAATAATAACAAATAATTGTTTTTTTCTTATAAAATTTGTTTTTGAATTTTTTTTTTTAAAAAATTAGAATTTAGATTATGTTTATCTAGTATTTATTTTATTTTGTATTGTTTTAATTATATTAAAAAAATGAAAAAACAAATATACTTTTTTTTAATATTTGCATTATTATTAGGTTAGATTCAAATAAAATTTAAAAATAAAAAAAAAAAAAACAAAAAAAAACTAATTTTATTTTTTTATAATTTAAATAGATATTAATTCTGGAATCGAGGTTTTAAATTCAACAATATCAAAAAAAGAAATTAATCTCTTTGGAAATTATTTAGAGTATTCAGTTTTTGAATTTACTTTAGACAGTGATATATTCAAGTATGATTCATTAGCATGCCCAAGTTATAATTGTAACTCTCCAAATACTGGTATAGATTGTTCTTGTGATTATACAAATAAAACAGAATGCCCAAAGAAAAGAGATGTTTCATGCACCAACGAGTGCTTACTAGTTGATGAAAATAATACTGACTTATGTGGGGAGGATTTAACTTGGACTACAGTAAAGAAGGATCAAGATTATATATTTGAATCAGATAAAACTTTACATCTAAGATACAAGGCTGACTCTAGTATTTGTGAAGGTATAATGGTTCAGAATTATCCAATTGAAGGTTTCTACAAGTTTGCAATGGGTAGATCTTTAGACTATAATTCTCAAAGAGATTGTATATTGGGTAACCCATTGATTTATGGTGTTATGAATATTTGTCCCTCTGACAATGTAGATTTTTTAGAAGGGATGTCCTATAATCAAGGTTGGACCGACAATACTTATTTCATCACAATAGTTCCATTCGTCACGGGAAAATCTTTTAAAAAGTCATTCAGGTTAACATCTAAACCAGTTCCAGCTATTCCAAACCCTTTACCAGCTTGCTCAATAGATTCACAGGATCCTATTTTATCTGATCACCAATGTCTTTCTGATGGTATTATGGTACAAAATAATGAAAAGGAGGATCATAAACATGACTACTATGTCTTTAAAGCTAAAAAAAGTGCTATCCATACTATTAGAAGTCCTTCTCTTTATGAAACACCTATTTTATTGGCAGATGATAAACAAAAGAAACCAAGTTATAATTCAATTTTCCAACCTCCAAAGTGGGGAAGTAGAGATGAGTATGAAAACAGTATTACAATGTATTTAGAAAAAGACCAAGTTATTTATATTTCAGTATATACTTATTGGGCTTCACCTTATGTTTTATCAATCACTTCAGATGCTTTCTATTCTCAAGTTAATGTTTCAACATTACCCTCAAAAGCTGCAATGTTTTCATTGGTTAAATCATCAAGAATTTTAAATTCAAATACTATAGTATCTTGTGAACAATGGTCTCAATGTTTTCTATATACAATAGGTCCTCCATATTCAAACAATGACCCAACATCACCTTTACCACCACCATATCTGGGCTATTTCATTCAAGACTCTTTACCAAGTTACTATGAGTTAAACTATGATGATACATTGCTTAATCCACTCAAAAGAAAGGTTTATCAAGCCGCTTTCTTAATGTCTTATAAGATTGGTTCTGCCACAAAATCAACTTTGGTCACCTGGGAAGATCTCAAAAATACAAAGATTGAATTTTTATCAACTCATTTCGATGCAGATGGTATTGTAGGTATATTTAAATTTAAAGAACTATCTAAACATCCAAAACATATTTATTAATTTCAATTTTTTATTCATAAGCCATTATCAGGTATTGTTTCAAATTATACAGTCAAAGACTATGAATGTAGTTACAATGAATTAAATGTGGTTTTAAATGAAATCGATAGAATTGAGGAGTTATTATACAACGTAACTGATTTAAAAGAAATGAACAATTATAGATATCAATTGGATACTTTGACAATTAGGGATAGTTATGTAGGATGTACTCACAAAGCAACTACATTATTAGAGAAGCGTACTGTTGAAAAGAATGTTACGGGCACATTTTGTCAATATTCAACAAATGATAGTAGATTTTTTAAAGATCCATGTTGTAGTTTAGTAATGAGATACTCGGAGTGTTGCAACCCGACCACCAAGCTTGTTGAGCAAGAAGATTATGTTGGTGTTTATACAGATAGTGTTAGAGATCAATGTTCAAATCCTTCATGCACTGAAACTGTTGTAGACCAATACTATAGCTCTTTGGGTGTTCAAGATGACTGTTCCGTACCAAGAAATGCTTTGGATAATATTAAAATAGAAATCATTACCGTTTTACGTCAGTGCCAAGCAGATGTTGTTCTCGATACTCCTACCTGCTCCAGTGATCAAGAATGTAAAACTTTTAGTGGCCCAAATGGAGTATGTGATATGTTTACAAGAAAGTGTTTACCAGATTTCCAATTTATCGATAAGCGTTATTTAACCTGTATTTTTAGTCAGCTAGATCAAGCAACCATTTTTAAACTTCTTCATAAACCATTTTCATTAAATGACACTATTATTCAAGAATTATACAATTACTACCAATCAGAGGATTGTATTAATCAAGGTACATTCACACAAAGACAAATATTTCAATATTTACCAAAGAGTTCAAGTGAAGATATTTATTCATCGCCTCACTGTCTTGACGATTCTTGTCCATTGGTTCATGATGTATACTATGATGGAGTATATTCTTATTATAAACAGTATATCTACCAAGATTTTACAAATTGTGAATTATTTGGTATATGCAATTCAAACCCAGCATGTTATGGTGTTTCAAGTACTCAAACTTGTGCCAGTGATTGTAATTCAAATGGTGATTTTTGTGGTTATTGTTCAAATAGTACAGATGCACTTTGTTATAATTTCAATAATAATGATCAAGTTAGTTGTACATCCAGTGATTATTGCATAGTTGGTAATAATCAATTCGAAGAAAATCTTTCTCAAAGCGAATGTGAAGAAAGTGGTGTTTGTGATATACCATGTGGTTATTCATGCGATGGTTTTGTTGGTTGCGCACTAATTAATGTTCCAAACGAAGAAATATGTTTATCAGTTCCTCTTACTTCATGGGACATGACATATAATATTTGCAAATATGATGTCGCTACTCAAGATCAATGTACAGGTTCGGATCAATTAGGTTGGATTGATTGCACATCAAATTTAATGGATGAATGTTCAGGTCCAACTTTACAAACCATTAATGCATGTTCATTGAAACCAAAAGAATGCGCAACAAAATCAGAATGCGAAGCTGCAGGCCAATGCTCTGATAGCTATTTCTTTTTACCAGAAAATACCAAATACTATCCAGCAGGTTTAGGTAAATGTGTAAAGAAGCCAGATCTTTACATAAATCAAATATCTTGCTTGTTCTCAAGGGATATTACTTTGACCGAAAGAGACTCACCAATGGGATGCTTTACAGATATCCCCAGTGTATTTAGCCGTGCAGAATGTGAACGATTAAACTATACTTGGTGGTCACCTGCTACATCAATGGATCAATGCCTTGGATTAAAAGGTTGTAAAATTTATCCACCTGAAGAAACTAAAATGTTACCTTATAATACCCAATTCAATCAAATGAACGAGGGAACCTGTTTGGGATGCTATGACTCAAATAACGAATGGTCAAATAAGTTTGAATGGAAAAATGGTAGTTGGAAACCAGGTGTTTATGTTAAAGGTCAATGGATTCAAAGCAAGTGGATATCGACCAGCATTCACACAACATCATTATCCTATCAAAGAATTTACGATGATTTAATGATTTCAGCAAATACTCAAATGTCAGATTTATTACGTTCTGAATATTTCTGTAGAAGTTTCCGTACAAAAAACAATTTAGATTCAATTTCGTGTAGTTGCTCTTCAAATGGTAATGGTGGTTCAGAATGCTTTAAAGAAACTTCATTGCTTTTGGGTCAAACCAAACCATGTAATAACAAACAAAGTAACTATACTTTCGACTATGGCCAAATTTTGTTTTCTGAACAATCTGTTCAAGAGGGTTGTGGAAATGTTTTAGTATCTCAATTCCCATATCAACTATTCACTTCATCAGAACAAAGCTTTTTCCCATCAAATTTTGTATCATACCCAAAACCAGATAAATATGGAGTTTTTAATGATAAGGAGGTTATAGTTGGCACAATTTTAGGTGATGGTATTTCAGTAGAATCTCAAGGTGTAGATAGATTTACAGTATGTTTTGTTTTGGGTTCATCGATTGGCAACTCTGAAAAATATCCAGTTTTAGATATAGCTAGTCAAAATGAAATAGACCAAAAGGTTTATCCATTAGATAACACCAATGCATCAATAGTTGAAATTAAAGGCAATAGCTATTTATGCTCACATATTGATAACATCAAACAAAAAGGAACCTATTTCCCAATCAATCGTGTCGAAAATTGGAAATCACAAGGTAAACAATACTTTGACCGTTCAACAGAGGGTTTGCTTTATACTTTAGCTGCACTATTTTTATTAGTAGCACTATATGGTTTTTATCAATTAGTAATTATTATGGTTGTTAGATTCAGAAATATTATTACCAGATTCGAATTGGTACATCTCTTAATTCTGATGGTTTTCATTTTCTTAACTGTTCGTATGGTTTATTTCTTCCTTTTGCCAAAAGGTTACCTGGCCGACTCTGCTATTGCCGACTACTCACTTGTAGTATTACCAACATTCTTTTATTTCTCTTGCTTTACAATTATTTTAGTATTATGGTTTACCATTGTTTTCTTGGTATTAAAGAACAATGCTAGTGTGGATTTATCAAAAAGAGTTTCATCAATCCTTGTAATTGTTAATGTTTTAATTTATTTATTACTAATTGCCATTATTGTGGCATTCCAGTATACCAAAAACGATTATACAAATAATTGTGGTAACCGTATTATAGTCGTAAGTATCATAGTTTTTCTATATGGTTTTAAGATTGATCTATATATTAATAATTTTTCAATTAATTTTTCAATTAATTTTAGGAAATTAAAAATTCATCATCACAAAAAGCAGTTTCTATAGTCTATGCTACAGTTCAAGCAGTAATTAGTATCACCATTGCTTCATTATTCATATATTTAGGTGGTAGTTTATACATGGCCATGCGAAAATCGCTAAACTCCAACTCTAATTCAAGAGCTTTAAAGAAAACGAAAAAAATATTTTTATTGACCGCAGTTTGCAGTGTAGGTTTTATTCTCCATTGTGTTTTCATTTTGGTTTTGGTTGGAATCGAAAATCCAAGTGTCACATTCAGCTTTATAGGTTTAGTTATTACAGAGATAATACCATCCCTCACCATTCTTTATTGTTACGATCAACGTGTTAGCTTATCATTGGATAGAACTTTATCAATTAAATCCTCCACCTCATCCATTTCTGATAAAACTGACTCTAAATTAACAACAATAACTTCAACAGAAAAAACTTTTAGTGAAAACTTATCATCAGAATTTTAGAAAAAATATGGTTTTAAAAAAAAATAAAGGAGTTTTAAATTAGTAAAAAATTAAAACCAGATATTGAATTTTATTTTATTTGTATTCCCTTTCCTTAATTAATATTAATAAAATTATGAGGTAAAGAGTCACTGCCCATTCTGAGAGATAAACGAGGGATTGGCAGCTTATTTTGCTAATAAAATTGATTGAATGAAAGAGCTCTTTTATACCAGCAATACCATTTTTGCCATTATCCAAATCAATAGATCATTTTTTATTCTCAAAGTTATACTCATAGAAGAATAAGCCAATATATTTTCATTTCTTTTAATTTTTTTAAATAATAAAACCTAAAAATAAAATTTTAAAACAAAATATTTAACTTTTACAGTTAAAATGGAACTATAGATGTAATCTCATTTAAAAGTTCTCTTAAAAGTATTATCTTGTATTGAAACTTAATGTGAAGGGTGAAAAAGGTGATATCAAAGTTAATTTTAATGAATTTGAATTTTATTTTGATTGAATTAAATGTACAAAATTTATATCTTCTTTTGATGGAGATTTTGTTGAAAAAATTAGTTTAATATTTGTAAAATAATAAATTTTATTGATTATAATATTTAAAAACTGTTTTTTTTTTTTTTTTCAAAAATAATCACACACATACCTCCTTTATTATTTTTAGCTTGTAAAAAATAATAAAATTTTTTTCAAATTATTTTAATTTAATTTTTTTATTTTTTAATTTATAAATAAACTGTTAAAAAAAGAATTTTAAAATTATTATTAATTTTTTTTTTCTTATTTAAATTTATATTATTTTTTTTTATTAAAAGCAAGATGTCAAAGATTGTTTCAGTATTTGGTGCAACTGGTGACCAAGGTGGCTCTGTAGCTAGAGCTTTATTGAAAGATGGCAAATTTAAAGTTCGTGCATTGACTAGAAATCCAAACTCGGAAGCATCCAAGAAACTAAAAGCTGAAGGTTGTGAAGTTGTTAAATGTGACATTGCCGGTTCAAAACAAGATATAGAGACTGCTATTAAAGGTAGCTATGGTGTATTTTTAATTACTATTTCCATTTTTCAAGATAAAGAAAATGGCAAAAAGGTTGCTGATGCTTGCTTTGATGCCGGTGTGGAACATTTGGTATTCAGTAGTATTTTAGGTTCACTCCGAGCTGTAATTTTACCAAACTTTAATCCTAAAGCTGAAATTGAAGATCATATTAAAGAATTGTCAAAAAAGAAACCACAATTTATCTCATCATTTGTTCATGATAGAAATGAATCATTTGTTACTCCCTCATCCTCTATGTTTAATCAGAATATTTTTAAACTTGAAAAACGTTCTGATGGTGTCTCCTACTCAATTTCTCATACTGAACAACCTTCAAATATTCCAAAAGTTGAAGACCTTGGTCCACTTGTCTCTAGTATTCTCAATGACCCAAACAAATACTCTGGTGTTGTTGAACATTTCCCTAACAGTGCCCCTATGAGAGTAGTTCTCTAAAGAATATTCTCTATTCACTTTCATTAATCTAAATTTAATAAATCTATTATTGTTACCCATTATAATAAAATAAAGATTTTTTTTTATATTATTTTATTTACTAATTTTTTTTAATTTAACCCTTAAAGTGTCAATAACATTAAAAAAAAATTCAATAATTTATTTTAAATACTTATTTTAAGCATAATATTTATAAAAGATAATATCTTTATAATAATTTTAACAAATAATTAATAGTAAATAAAAAATTAAAAAGAAAATTCAAGAATTTAAAATCCTAATGAAAAAAGATAAATAAATTTTATGTATATAATTTAAAATATAAAGATAAACCTTTTTTTCTTCCTTTGATAATTGTTTGTTTATGAAATAAAAATATATAATAGAAATAAAAATAAAACATTTATTAATTTTCTTGTGTTGTTTTTTTTAGTGTTACTTTTGATGCTGCTCTGCTGAGTTTAAAATTATATGTTTTGTTCTTTGAATGAGCATAAAATCAAAATTGTGAATATAAATTTATTTAAATATATAATTTTTTAAAAAATAAATAAAAAAATAAAAAATAAAATTTCTAATTTTTTATTTTTCTAGTTATAAAATATAAATATAATTTATTACAAAAATTTTTAATTTTTAAATTTTTTTTAATTATAATGATCTGAACATCCAATAATTTTTTTTTTTTTTAATTTATTTTTTAAATAAACGAGCTCGTTTTTAAATACCCAAACAATATAAATAAAAGTTTGTGTAATAAAATGGATAAAGAAGAAAAGATAATTAACCGATATTTATACCAAATAAAAGAAGATTATATGTTAAACCAATTCAAATTCCAGGTTTCGGTTAATTTTCAGATTAAAACACTGGTTTAAGAAACTGTTGATACGGATGAGATTTACACAGCTATTAAATAGCATAAAATTAAATTGAATAAGAAGTTAGGAATGAAGTTGGTTTATTCTGTCTGATTACAAAAAATTAAAAAAAAAAAAAGTTATTGTGAAAAAAATTTTTATGGGTTAAAAACTATTTCTTTATTTTGGATCTAATAATAAAAACCAATCGATAGATGGTTTAATTTTTGTTTGATTTGTAGTTGTTGCAATGTGACCAGAGAATAATGTACTGTTATATTCGGTTCCATCACCATCAATTAATAATACTGGTGTATTTACAAAACCATTTGAAATAGTGTTATATGAGATGGTAGGCCATTTTGAATCAGATTGTGGTGAAACATTCCAGTCACCATCAGAGTTGAAGCAACAGAAACTTGATAACCACCCTGAAAGTCTATCAGTTCCTGATCCTTGTTCACGATGTGCAATTGAGTTCCACCATTGTAAATCTGGACTGCCTGATGCTGTTAGTACAAGTTGATCTAAAATAGGTTCCAAATATGATAACCATTTATCCATTAAGTTTGATTCTTCTTTATTATTTGACTCAATATTGAATTCTTTTAATTTTTGTAATCTTTGTTTTAAATTGGACCAATCATCTACAGTACCTAAAAGAGTGACTGATGGCAAACCACATCTTGTTTTCATTGAATAGTTGAAAAACTTTTTCATTGTCGAAAGTAATACCGATGCAAATGCAACCCTGTCCGAATCGGTTGTTGTTGAAAAGTTTGGAATAACCCAATCGGCAATTGATGGATCTTTAATACGGGATTTTATTTTTTGTGACAATTCTAATGTTAATTTTCCATGATCTGCTGTAAGAATTGGATCATCTGTTAAAACTTCTAATTTTTCTTTACCTTGAAAATCGACTAATCTATCTCTAAATGTTTCAGCGTGTTTGTTAACATATAGTGAGAATTGAACCATAATCGACATATAAACATCATCTGGTCTAATTTCGAGGTGATGGTGTTGATTATAAGCTTTCCAACATGAATATACAAATGAATTTGGACCAACTTCTTTTAAACCATCGACATCTAAACTCTTTTGATCATTAATTTTAAAACTTGAACTTAATACCCTAAAATCGGCAGTTTCATTTCTTTTTTTCTGTTCTTTAAATTCAATTGAATAGTTTTCTGAATCTATAAAAAGCTGATCTAGTTTTTTCTTTTCTTCTTCTTTACTTAATTTTTCGTTGAGTATTTTTCTATAACCTTCCATATAAAAATTACGATCTGATATAACTTGAGTTTTTAAAAAATCTTGAATAAATGGTTTGATATTAAATTGTTTTAAATTTAATATATTTTCATTCACATTACTGACTTTAAATGTTATTGACATTATTGTTTATTTATATTTATTTATTTATATTATTTAATGGTTTTTAAAAATTGTTTTAAAAAATTTTTTAATTTAAATTATAAAAAATTTTATTTTTATGAAAATTTTCATAAAAATGGAAAAAAAAAAGAATGTGGGAAATAAATTATAATAAGATTATTATAAATTAAATTATTTCTTTTTTTGCGGAAAAATATTAGATATTCATTGATTATTTATTTGTGTAGTGATAATTATTTACCCCACTTTTTTAAAAAAAAAAAAAAAAAAAAAAAAAATTATAATTTTTAATTTTTTTTTTTTTTTTTTTTTTTTTTTAAATTTATAAATATTTTTTTTTTTATTTTAATTTTAAATTGTTAAAAAGAAATTTTGTATATATAGATAAAAAATAATAACGATAGTCTTATTTTTTTTTTTTTTTTTTCCAATTAATAACTGAATCAAAACAAATATAAAAATAATCATATTCAATTACTATAATGAGTAGTTATAATTTTAATCTCACAGATGGTTTTTTAGAAGATTTAAGCGGTGGTCTTTATAGCAGCGGAAATAGTAATAATAATAGCAATAATAATAATACAACGACAACAACCACAACCACAACTACATCTAGCAACTACAGTAATAATAATAATAATAACTATAATAATAATATAAATTTAAATAGTAGTATAAATAATTTAAATAGTTTTGAAGGTGGTTTACAAGGATATGGCAGGCCGCACGATAGTGAAGATCAATTATTATTTCGATTACCACCTCATTTAGCAGAAAGAGTTAGAAAAATGTTGAAACAAAAATATATGGATATACCAATCGATTTTCAATTTAGGAATGAAAGACAAATGATATTTAAATTTGGTGACGAAACATACAATGCCAATTTAGTAGATTTACCATGTGTAGTTGAATCACATAAAACATATGATAAAGCAAATTATTTCAAAACTGCAGATATTGGTCAAATGATATTAGTAAATGATAATAATAGTAATAAGGAAAATAATGAATCAAATGATAATAATAATAGTAATAATAATAATAATAATAATAACAATAATAACAATAATAATAGTAAAACAAATTCGGTTCCACCAAATAATGTTGTAAATAATATGTTAACAAGTGGTCTAACACCAGCAAGTAAAGATATCGTTAAAAGAAAATTTAGAGTATATAACAGAGAAAAGATTACCGAGTTAGCAAAGATTGAAGAAGAGTTGGTTAGAATTATAAAGCCAAACTATGGAGATGGTGAGGATATAGAGTTTGTATGCTTACCAGATTTGAAGGATAGATATGGTAATGAACTATTTAACACAAACTCAACAGATCCAGTAATATTTGAGGAAAAAGCAGACGATCAAATTATTATAGATGATATTGATAGTAATGATGAATCCGGTTTAGAAGATGAACCTGATCAAATTAGAACCATCAAAGTTAAGAATATGGGCAATTCAATGGGTCACCACCATCACCACCAACAAAGAAGAATGGGTCATAGTAACGACGATGATTTTAGCGATGATGATAGATATAGTAGAGGCAGACCAATTTCAGCGGCAGATAAATCACCATTAGAAAAAGAAAGATCACCAACTGGCAGAAGGGGTAGCGACAGAAGATCAAGAGGAAGTGACAGAGGCAGAGATAGATCCTTTGGTAGTAGTTTTGTAAATATGAGTAATCCATCTACACCAGTTAGTATAAATACAAGTAGCAATAGTATCGGCTCAATGTCTCAAAGTGGCTCAACCCCAACAAGTCTTAAAATTAAATTTGCAATTCCATCTTCCCCTTCAATCGAGTCCCTTAATAATATTAAATCCCCAACAGATGATCTTCAAAAGAGTACAAACTCTATTAGTGCCTCCGCTGGGAGCACACCAATACTATCACCTTCACAAAAATCACCAACCTCGCCAAGATCGCACGAAGAAAAGAAAAAACACAGACACAGAGACAGAGAAAGAGATGGAGAACATAAAAGAAGAAAGAAAGAAAGAAGTAGTACCGAAAAAAGTAGTGATATTATTTCACCACTTACCTCACCACAACAACCAACTCTTGTTCAATTAGACTCAAGTATTTCAGATTTAACAACATCAACAAATAATCTAAACAGTAGTATAAATAACAATAATAATAATAACAATGTTATTTCATCACCTCCAATATCATTTATCACTGAACCAACTACACCACCTCCACAACAACAACCTCAAATTAATATTTCAGATTCAACAAATTCAACAACCTCAGCATCTACAAGACCAAAAACAAACTCACCACTTAACCAAGCCTCATCATCAATCCAACCTGTTTCATCCATACCCATTAGCACTAGTTCAGAAAACATTGCACTCCCATCCACACCACCAATTTCACTTAGCTCAACTAATATTAGTACTCCACCAATCTCAGTCTCGACACCACCTATCTCGGCCACTACAGTCCAACAACCAATTCAAAACATTTCAACTCCACCCTCAAATAGTGATAGTGAATTATTAAACCTAATTGGATCATTAAGAAAATTACAACAAGAATCTGAAACACTCAAGAGACAATTACTTCAACTTCAAACCTCATTAAACAGCGCTCCAAACAAAATTTTAAGAGAGCGTCAACAAGTAAAAGTAGACGATGCAACAAAACAATTAAATTTAAAATTAAAAGAAATTGAAAATGTTGAAAACTTAATACAAGAAATCAAAAATAAATAATAACTAAAAAAAAAAAAAAAAAAAAAAGAATAGATTTTTTTTTTAATTTTGAAAAAAAATTCCTGGTTCAAAAATTATTAAAAATTAATAATTAAATTAAAAAAAGGTAATCAATAGCTATTTAATAAAATAAAATTAGATTACAATTTTTTTACTTTTTTTTTAATTTATTTATTTGTGTTTAATTAAATTAACGGATACTTTTTTTTTTTTTAAATTTGGCATTTGTGTGTAAATTTAAATTTTTTTTTTTTTATTTTTTTTTTTTTATTTTTTTAAATTTTACCTTCAGCATTTTTGTAATTTGTTTAATTTTAAATTTTTTTTATAATTTATTTTTTTAGTATCTATTTATATAAATAAAAATGGTTGGAAGACCCAAGAAATCAGAACAAAAAACAACCGCCGAAGATCAAATTTCAGTTAGTCGTAGCGGTAGAAAAATTATTAGACCAGGTGAAACCCCACAACAAGAAGCACCAATAAGCAATAATAAAAAGAAAACAAATAAGGCTAAAGACAGTGATGATGAGGAACAAGAAAACCCAAAAATTACAACAAGAAAAACAGCTACCCCAAAAAAACCTACCCCAAAAAAAAGTAATAAAAAACAACAACAAAAGGAAATTAGTAGCGATGAAGAGGTTATAGAGGAAGTTGAGGAAGAAGAAGAAGAAGAGGAAGTTGTTCAAGTTAAACCAAAAGTTTCAAAAAGAAAAGGTAAAGGAGCCTCTTCAGCTGAATCATCATCATCAACATCTGGCTCAAATAGTGCAACCAAAAAGTATACAGCAACTGAATTACAAATAATTCAATCAGAAAATAGAATGGTTTATATCAAGTTCTTTATTTTTTCATTTTTAATGGTTTTAGTCCCAATTATTGCTTTCAAACTTGTCAATGGTATGATTGGCGATTATTTGGGTATCAACAGACAAGATAGAGTTTCATACGCCGGTTTTGCTTCGCTAGGTGGTTTGGTTTCGGTTGTTGCTGCATACTGTATAATGGCATATTATGAAAAATAGTTTTAAAACAAATAAATAAAATATAATACAATACAATTAAATACACATACTGTAAATTAATTAAAATGTTTAAAAAAAAAAAAAAGCTGTTAAATTTAACAATTAATAAATAAATAAATTTAAATATACTTTAGATTGTGATTAAAAACTAATATAATTTATTGTTTTTTTTATTTTTTTTTTTGTTGAGATTAATTTATAAATTTGGTTATTCTTAAATAATATTTTCCATCATCTGATGAGGTTTCCGCTTCATAGTCCTCTCCATATTCTTCATATTCTTCATCTTCTTCATCTTCTTCTTCATCTTCATCTTCTTCATATTCATCCTCATCTTCTTCCTCATATTCTTCCCCATCTTCTTCTTCATCTTCATCTTCATCATCTTCATCACTGTCGCAATGAATAAGACCACATCCTTTACAAGGACCACCCATCTCAAGTTCTCTAAAAAAATTCCCCATTTCTTCATCTTCATCCTCTTCATCATCATCATCTTCTTCATCACCTTCTTCAACATATTCTTCTTCATCTTCATCTTCATCTTCATATTCTTCATCTTCATCTTCTTCATATTCTTTGAAAAGTTGAGTAGAGATTTTGCTTCTGGGCCCTCTATAATAAGATCTTGGGTAAAAATCGTCCTCATCCTCTTCATCCTCCTCCTCTCCTTCTCCTAGAAATTCTCTTAATCGGGATCTTATAGAGTCAGCAAAGTCATGGATATTCTCATAGGCTGGGTCATAGGCCGGGTGATAGATTGCGTTATTGTCTGATTCATAGTTCGACAAATCGTCATTGTAAGAATCTCCATATGGGTAAAAATCTTCTTCATTTTCTTCATCGTATTCTTCCTCCTCATCGAATTCGTCATCATATTCGTCATCATCCATAAAAGCACTATCTTCTCCATCTTCACTAATTATACTTAAGTCTTCACTTTCATCAAGCATATCTAAAAGTTCGTAACTTGGTTTATTTGTTTCTTCTTTTTGGGCTTTATTTGTTTCAAGATTACCATTTCTATAAACTTCTAAGTTAATCTTTGGATATAAAGTTGTAATTTTTCTTATAATGGCCCTAACCCAGTTTTTTTTCATGTGTTTAATTCTTATTGTGAATGATTTAAGTGAATCCCCGTGATGTTTTAAAAGCAAAGATATCAACCTATAAATATATGAAGATTCGGATGACACCTTCCCATCTAATTCAACACTTTCTAACATTGAACCACCGTTTACTATAAAGTACTGTATAAACTTCATAAAGTAACCAGTCAAAGTGAAATCACGACGTGAAATTGACCTTCCCTTTAAAACCAACTTTTTTACATTTGGAAATGCCTTATATTTGAAATATGTTGAAAACGATGCAGAATAGGTTGCTCTTATCCCACTAAAATCGTAGTCCAAATTGAAAACTTTACCTGTTTTACTAACAATTTCACAAAGAGTATCGATATATAAAACCTTAGTTGATCTACATATTTCATCAATTAGCTTTTCGTCTTTATAATCTACAGTTTTGATTAATCTTTCATAGTCTTGAAATTCTGGATACTTTTTAAATAAGCATTTACTATTGGTTGGTGAAAATGAATATTGACTACGGATTAAATTTATTGTATGTTTATTCCAATCTATATAGGAAAGTTCTTTCTTTATTAAATTATATAAATTTTTTGACGACAAGGCTATACTTTGAATTGATTTTGAAATTGATGTATAGTACTGATCTTTAGTTTCATTGCATTCTTTATTTGGTTTATATTTTGTATTTATTAAATGATTGAAAATTTTTAATAATAATAAATTACTTAAATATAGATTTTCTGTATTTTGAACTATTTCTTTATTTTCTATGCTACTATCATTATTATTGTTGTTATTATTATTATTACAACTATTATCATTATCATTTTTGATGCCACTATCTTTTCCAATACCATTAGATCTATATTGTTTAACAAATAAATTAATTCGTTAACAAACATATTTATAAAAAAGAAACTTTAAAAATTTACATACCCTAAACCTAAAACAATTTTATATTCATCATCACTATCTTCATATTCTTGCTCTTCTTCATCAACTTTGTTATCTTTGCTATCTTCGCTATCATTGCTATCATTGCTATCTTCGCTATACTCTTCATCTTCATATTGGTATTCACCATATAGGAGATATTTTTTTGCGAAACTCTTACTGTTTTTAAAACTAGATTTAATTTTTTCATTTTGTTTGTCTTTAATATCTTGATATAAATTGTCATCGTGTGGTAATGGGTCTCTATAAAACTCATATAAATTAAAGACCTTCCAACCACTGTTTATAAAAAAACAACCAATGAGTTTTTTTTGATTATCTGTTTCAGGGTTACATGTGTGAATCAATTTGATTAAATCTATCTTTGATTCAATTGAAGCTGAGCCAAATAACAAATCCAATAAATATGACAATTCACCCAAATCTGAAACTTCTAAAAGCCAATCCAACTGTTTAGAAAAAAAAAAAAAAGAAATAAATTAATATATTGCTATTTTTAATTATATATATTAAATAGGATATAAACTTACTTTTTTACTATTAAAAATTTTTAAAAATAAACTTTTGTAATTTAGGCTTTGATAGAATAGTTGATAATATTGTACGATTGATCTGAACAATGGCTTTTCATTAAAGAAAACATTATCAATTAAAAAATCAGTAAAATATGCTTGATTGTAAAATTTCTTGCCTTTGAAAAAGAAAAAGTGTTCAGTAATACCTATGAATCTATAGAGTTGTACTAATCCCTCATCTTTTTTTGGATCTTTATAAGTTGCATAGTTTTGAATTTTGATGGCTTCATTTAAAGGTATTGGACTTTCGAAATTTGAAAAGCTAAAACCATATTTGAATAAAGTTTTTAGTTTTAAAGATTCGAAAACACAGTGATCTTCTTTAAATGCGTTAAACAATAAATTTCTATTATTTAGGTAACGATTTTGGTAGAATCCTGGTTCTTTATTCACCGCAAAATCTGGTGAATTAGTTATTTGCAGTCCATACATTAGCGAAGTCCAAATATTTGCCAAAACCTCATGTGTATCTTCATCATTTCTTAAATATTCAGTAGTATAAGTTTTGCTATAATTTTTGATATATGCAAAATACTGTCTATTTGTATTAAGAATGTGACTTTTTTTATTCTTTTTATTTATTTTATTCATTTTATTGTGTTATTTTTATTTATATTAATTATTTATTTCTGTACATGTATATTATTATTTAATTTAAAAAGAAAAAAAAAAAAAAAAGTTATAAATCATAAAAAAAAAAAACTTAAAAAAAAACTTAAAAACAAAATTAAAAAAAAAAATTAAAAAAATAAAAAAATTAAATAAAAATTTTAATTTTTTTTTAATTATTTAATATTTGTTTAACTTTTTTTAGAGGGGGTATATATAAAAGTAATAAAAATAACAACACCCAGGTTACAAATTTTTAAAAACAACTTAAAAAAAAAAAAAGAAAAAGTCTTGTTGTTTGTGTTTAAAATCTTGGGCTATTTTTACAATTTGTTAAAAATAAATAAACAATATAAATACAAATATAAATATAAATATAAATATAAATAAAAATAAATAATATATTTTATTATTTTAAATATGAATAAAAGAAAAAAAAAATTAAAAAATAAAATAAAATTGTAAAAACCATTGTCTTAAATTACTATTATTATTTATTTGTTTATTTATTTTATTTTATTTTATTTTATTTTATTTATTTTATTCTTCATCTTTAATATCATCATTGTACTCTGTTGATAATAAAGTTAAAATTTGTTTTATATATTGTGGGTGTAATAAATCTTTGGCACCTAATTTCATTTTATTTGATAAATGGTAAACCTGCATTATACTTTTACTGTGAATCAAAAGGAAACCTTTTTCTAATAAGGCGATTGAATTTTTTACACGAGATATACGGTCTCTTGAATCTTTTGAAATTTGTTTAATGTCATCTGGTATGATACATGCTTGGTCGAAATTTTCTTTTTCGTGTTTTTGAATGAATGCTGATTGATTCTTTTGTTGCTCAGTGTCTGCAATCCAAATATAACCATTAAGACCTAAAATTACATCTACACCACACTCTAATGAATAAAAGTGTTGTTTTGAACGTTTGATTAAAGATGGTGTTACCTTCATAAAATGGCCATTTTGGAGCTTACCGTATTTTTGATTACGTGTGTGAATGGCGACCGAACCATCACCCATTATCATTTGGACTTCGGCATACACTAAATCGTTCTCTACAAAGAAATTTCTCATTTGGAGTTCATCTGCAGAGGTACGACGTCTTTGAATGCCACCTGGTAAATTGATAGCTGATAACATTAATATATAATCCAAACGTGAATTTACATCCACTTTCCAACGCTTTGATGAGATCTCGGTGATTCTACCAACTATAATATCGCCCACTTCGCCGTGATAACGGGATTTTAATGCTTTAACTGAAATTAATCTATCAACTTTATCCAATGTGCCGCATACCGATGCTATCAAATTACTTCCATTATGAAATGTACCATGACCCTTTAAATACTCGCCCTCTCTCGATATAATTTGACCGGGTATAACCAATCTCTTACTTGAAAATAACTCTGACTCTTCCGACTCCATTATTATATCATTATCTTCTGCTTTAACTTGTGTGTGTTGTTGTTGATAATGTTTTAATTTCATCCTCTTTTGAGGTGAAAAAATCTCTATATTTATATTTGTTAAATTATTATCATTGCTTTCCATTTTTATATCTGTATTGTATGTATTTATATATTTATTTATAATTGGGGGGTGTTAAATTTATTTTTTATTTTTAAAATTAAAAGATTTTATGTTAATTTCTATAACAAGTAAACTATGGCTTAAAAACAATTTAATTTAATTTAAACTGAAAAAGAATGAAAAAGAATAAAATTACACGTATTTTCGTATTAATATTTATTTTTTTTTTTTTTTTTTTTTTTTTTTTTTAAAAAAAAACTCATTATGATGCCCACTTTAAAAAAATTTTTTAAAAATTTTATTTTTTTTTATTTTTTTTTTTAATTTTTTTTTTTCAAATTCAAAATTTTTTAAATTTTTCTTTTTTTTTTTTTATTTAAATTATTTATTTATCTTAAAATAATATAAAAAATGATTAGATTAAATAGAGTTTATAATTTACGTACTGTTGGTTCACGTTTTTTCTCAACTGGTAAGTTTCTAATCATAAAGCAATAAACAGATCAACAACAGCAATGACAACAAATAACATATAATAAAACTAAACAATGATTAACGAAATAATAATCATTTCGATAAAACGAAAATTTTTATTACTTTAATTAATTAATTAATTTATAAAATTTAAAAATATATTTTTTGATTCAAATTAAATTTATATTTCAATAGTTTAATCATTTAAAATAAATCATTTAATAATTATTAATAATAATAATAAATAAATTTAATAAATAAAATAATAAATAATTTAAATTAATCATAAATATAATGGTTTTTTTTTTTTTTTTTTAAAATTTAAAATTTAAAATTTTAAATATTAATATTATTTTTATTTTAAATTCAATTTATAAATTATTTTATAGAACAAAAAGATGTTGTTATTATTGGTGGTGGTCCAGGTGGTTATGTTGCAGGTATTAAAGCTGGTCAATTAGGTATGAAAGTTACAGTTGTTGAAAAAAGAGGTAAATTAGGTGGTACATGTTTAAATGTTGGTTGTATTCCATCAAAAGCATTATTAAATGCAAGTCATCTTTATGAAACAGCCACCACTAAAATGGGTGACTATGGTGTAAAATGTAATAATGTTGAACTTGATTTTGGTGGTATGATGAAATACAAAGAAAAAGCAGTTTCAGGTTTAACAGCTGGTATTGAATCATTATTCAAAAAGAATAAAGTTGATTATGCTAAAGGTCACGGTAAAATTACTGGTCCAAACACTGTTGAAGTTACCATGAATGATGGTTCAGTTAAAACTATCGAAACTAAAAATATTGTTATTGCAACTGGTTCAGAAGTTTCAACTGGTGCATTATCAAATGTAGTAATTGATGAAGAAAGTATTGTTTCTTCAACTGGTGCATTATCATTAAAGACCGTTCCAAAAGATTTAATCGTAATTGGTGGTGGTGTCATTGGTTTAGAACTTGGTAGTGTCTATTCACGTTTGAACTCAAAAACTACCGTCATAGAATTCACCAACAGAATTGCAGCAGGTGCAGATGGTGAAGTTGCCAAGAAATTCCAAAAATCATTAGAAAAACAACATATGAAATTCCATTTAGAAACTAAAGTTACCTCAGTTGTTAAACAACCAAATGGCAGAGTTGCTGTTACTGTTGAACAAGTTGGTGCATCAGGTTACACTGGTACCTTAGAAGCTGATGTTGTATTAGTTTCAGTTGGTCGTCGTCCAAATACTCAAAATCTTGGTCTTGAAAACGTTGGTGTCCCAACCGATAAAGCTGGTCGTGTTGAAGTTGATGAACATTTCGCTACCAAAGTACCATCAATTTATGCTATTGGTGATGCCATTCGTGGTCCAATGTTAGCACACAAAGCTGAAGAAGAAGGTATTGCTATTATTGAACAATTACACAGCGGTGTTGGTCATGTTAACTATGATGCCATTCCATCCGTTATTTACACTCATCCAGAAGTTGCATGGGTTGGTAAAACTGAAGAAGAATTACAAAAAGCTGGTATCCAATATAATGCAGGTAAATTCCCATTCATTGGTAACTCAAGAGCCAAGACAAACGATGATGCTGAAGGTTTCGTTAAATTCTTAGCTGATAAAGAAACCGATAGAATTCTTGGTGTACACATCATGGGTGCTAACGCTGGTGAATTAATTGCTGAAAGTGTACTTGCTATGGAATATGGTGCCTCCTCTGAAGATGTTGCTAGAACTTGTCATGCCCATCCAACTTTATCAGAAGCTGTCAAAGAAGCTGCTATGGCTGCTCACGGTAAACCAATTCACATGTAAATTTGAATTGAATTACTTTTTTTCTAATATAAATAAATAAATAAATAAAAATAATCGTAAATAAATAAAAATTATTCAAATATTAAATGGTTTCTAATTAATAACAAGAAATTATTTAATGAATTTAAATATACTGAATATAATTATTTCAATTATTAATTGTAAAAATTTTTAAAAATATAAAATTCAAGAAAATGAAAACCAATCGGCTGGTGGTGCTTCTGTAAAATTTAAAATAATTCCATAAAAAAAACTTTTTTATATTATAATATATTATATAATATTTATAAATTTATTATTTTTCATAAACAGTCAAAAAAACAAAAAAAAAAAAAAAAAAAATAAAAGTGAAGTGGATTATTACTTTAAATAGATATACAAACAATTGATAAACTTAAATGTGTGATGTGGGTAAGTCTGAAAACTTAATGATTCATTGTTTTTATTTTATTATTATAAAATTTATCAAGATTTTGATTTTTATTATAATTACTTTTTTTTTTTTTAAATTTACAAAACTTATTTTGGTTTATCTACAATTTTTTTGGGGAGTTTAGTTTTTGTTTGTTGATCATTCATTTTTGAATTTAATAAACAGTTTACAATCATTTGTTAATATTTAATATTAAAGGTATTATTTATAACAAACCAACCTAAACTATTTTTCTGAATTTTTTTATTATAGATAAAGATAATACTAATATAAAATCAATAAAAAATTGATATTTATTTATATTTATATTTAATTTATTAAAGTTGATTATTTACTATTTTTATTTATTAATTAATTTATTAATATTTTCTAAAAAAGATATAAATTTGAAATACCATTGTAAATACCATATAAATAAAAAAGTAAGTACTTGTGTTTTGATTTTATTTTTTTTTTAAAAAATCATATGGTGGTTTATTTAATGGTATTAAAAAAAATTGAGAAATATAAATTAAAAAATAAAAAAACAGATATTTATAGAGCCAAAAATTTTTTTTTTTTTTTTTTTTAAATCAATTTAAAATTCCAACTGACTTTTTATAAATAAATAAAAAATAAATAAATAAAAATAATAAAGTAAATAAAAATTTTTTCAATGGTTTGCAACTAATAGAATTTTAATAATGAACACAAAAGACTATAGCATTTTATTTAAATTGGTTAAAAAAGATAACCAAATACTATCAAATGATAATAATGATTATTTATTTTACAAAATTATAAGAAATAAAACATTATTTAATGTTATTTTATATCATTTAAAATTATTTAATAAATATTCAATTGTAAAAGAAACATTATTTGGTGGTATGGAAAAAATAAATAATTTTGAATATAGAGAATATATTGGTAAATTGATATTTGTAAATTATAGAAATCATTTATCGGAAAATACAATTCCAAATACTTTATCAAATTTAAAATTTGGGTACCTGTTTGATAGTGAACTAAGGATTGGTGATATCCCTCCATCTGTAGAAACATTTCATATGGGCAGGAGATATATGGGAGAAATTTTACCAGGTGTTATACCCGCATCTGTAAAAAAATTAAAATTATCAAGTTTATTCAATAAACAATTATCAATTGGATCAATACCAGAAAGTGTAACATGTTTACATTTTAATGATCATTATAATCGTCAGCTTTCAATTGGTATAATACCAAATAATGTAGTTAAATTAACTTTATCAAAATCATTTAATCAAATTTTAAATGTTGGTGATTTACCTCAAAGTTTAACCTATTTAAAATTTGGTTGGTGTTGGAATCAAAAGATTGAAAGGAATTCAATTCCTCCAAAAGTTGAAACATTAATATTTGGTAGTTATTTTTTAAATAAATGTCAACCTCTTTTACCTGGTGATCTTCCTTTTGGTTTAAAACATTTAGAATTGGGGCATTCATTTAAACATGTTACATTAATGACAGATATAACTTCAATATTTTTTGAAAAACTTCCATTAAAAGAATCTCTAATTAGAAGACCATCAACTATACCTTCATCAGTAACGTTTTTAAAAATAGGAAATGAAATTGTTGATGTAAATACATTATCTTCTAAACTGTCAAACAAATTAAAAAATTTATAATAAAAATAATAACAATATACCGAAAAATTCCAAAAATCATAAGAAAAATAAGGTGAACTTATTCCCGAATCTCATCAGAAGATATTGGTCGTACCAAGCATGCTCATCCAGCTGTTAAAGAAGCTGCTTTAGCATGTAACAACGAAGCTACTCACATATAAATTAAATCAAATGTTAAAAAATAATTAAATCAAAAATAATAAATTTCACATAAAAAATAAAATTATTTTTTTTTTTGTAAATTATTAAATGTTTATTTTTTTATTTTTTTTGTTTTTTTTTTTTTTTTGGAATTCAGATTACATTTTTATTTTGATTGTTTTATTTTAATCATATTTTGTGGTTTCACCCACAAATTAAATATACAACTATTTTTAGGTTTTTTTGTGTTTAATAATTAAAAAAAAAATTTATTGTTATTTTTATTATTATGTTTTAATATTAAAATGAAGAGGATTATTTGTTTTTTATTATATTTATGTTTTATTTCATTAAATAATATAAGGTGTAGGTTATAAATTAAATAAAAAAAAATATTATTTAAAAAAATAAATAATAAAATTTATTTTTATTTTTTTTAGGTGTAAATTCATCTATTTTGGAATTAGAACCCAGTATTATTGGTATAAGTTATAGTGAGTCTAAAATTTTAAAAACTGATGGATACGTAATTATAAAGGGTAGCAATTTGCCTCGAACCTCTTCTGATGGTGTTAATTCCCCGTTAATAAAAATTACCCAAAATGGAGATGATTCCCAGTTTTATATACTCAAAGACTCCATTTTTATACCACTTTCAGATCAAACTGAAGCAGATTCAATTAGTTTATCAATTTATTACAATAATAATTTGTTAAAAGAATTTACGTTTGAATATGATCTCCCAAGGGTAGGAATAGTCTATTGTAATTATGTTTATAGTGGGCAAAATGTTGGTAATTATATGTTGGATGTATATGGTTTTAATTTCAATCCTCAATTTAATGTGTCTCTTTATGATTATAACCAAGGCTCGGATTCTGGGTACTGTCAAGTAGCGGACTATGCTATTTATTTTAATTTTTATGTTCTCTCGTGCTTACTACCACCATCAACAGCGGAACAAATTATCGATCACTCACTCTTCAATCTTACATTAATTTTTGGTGATAATGTGCACACATTTCCAGTTAGGGTTTTTGATAATTCTGAAACTGAACAATTAACATATAATAATTGTAATGGTAAAAAGAATTATAGTTTTTATATTTTAATTTTATTAAATTTCTTTATTTTATTTATGTAATATATATCAAAATAAACCAAGCCAAATTAAAGTAAAATAAAATAAATTAATTTATTATGAAAAAAAAACGAAATTTTTTTACTTTTTTTTATTTTTTTATTTTTTTTCATTTGTTTCAATTTTTTAAATTTTTTTTCATTTTAGATTTCAAGGTTTATAAATAGTTATATAGAAAATATTATAATAATGTCAGAAAAATATAACTCTGATGAAATATCAGTAGAAAAGATTACATTAAAAAAAAATGGTCAAACTTTAATTACTGACGACCTTTCATTTTCAATCTTAATTAAAAAATTAAACGAAAAAAAATTAAACGATTTATATTGTAGAATAGAATTTGTTTTAGATATTGCTTATAGAAATTTAACATTCGGTAAATATAGATAATGATATCAACTATAAAAATAACTAAACACTCTTTCTAACATAAAAATCCACCCAATTTATATAGATATTTTTAAATCAGAATCAAAAGATTATGATAACAGTTTAGAAAATATAAATTTAGATTTCTTATCAATAGAATCATTATCAGAATTATTAAAGAAACAAAATATAGAAGATTCTTTTTGGTGTAATATTAGTTGTATAAATATCTATATTAATTATAGACTTTCAAAAGAAGAAACTGAACCAGAGAAATCAATAAAAATCACAATTCCATTAAATATTTATAAAGATACTATGACCGATAATATAACTTATAAAACTACTTATAATCCATTTGATTATTTGTAAAAAAAAAAAAGATTAAAATAAAATATTTTTGTATATAAAAACCTTATATTATAACATATAATATTATTTTACTTTATAATTTATTATTTTTTTATTATTTTTATTTTTTAACAAGATTCTTATTATAACCTAAAGTATTTAAATCTTTTATAGTCTTTAAAATAAATAATATATTAGTATATTCACAGAGTTTTTATGAGTTTATTTATTTATTTTTTTACTTACTTCTGATGGGTCTTCAATAGTTTGATTTACATAAAGTTCAACAAAACCGGTAAAGGTTAAGCCTTTGGTTCTATTAGAGTCGTAATGAGATAAAATACTTTGTAATGAATGTGGATCCATTTCTTGACCATTAACTGCTTTTGAATATAATTGCATTTCTCTTTTATTTAAACAATTATCTTTATTTAAATCAAATCTATCAAAAATTTCACGTAAAATTACAATAAACTTTTTAGTAACTTTACCATTCTATAATGAAAAATTAAAATTAATAACAAGTTATTTATGAATATATAATATTTTCTTTTTTACATACAATAACAATTAAAGGTACATTAAGGCTTGATTTACCAGTATCTAAAACACATTCATCATCTTGCATTGAATCAACATCTTCTTTATCTTGTTTGTCATTTAATAGATCTTGTTCTAAGGTTTGCTTCATTAAAGAGACTCTTTCATCTTCTGGGTCAATAGCTTGTGCTTTAATTAATAGTTGTTGTGCAGTTTCATAATCTTTGACAATACCTTTGATATATGCTAAACCTAAATATGCATCTAAACATGTAATATCAATTTCGATAGCTTTTGTAAATAAAGCTGTAATTTGTTCAATTGTTTTATTTTCATCAAACTCCTCTTCTTCATCATCATCAGCCTCTTTTGAATCATTATCTGTATTTTCACTATTAAGTTTTGTGTTTGATAAGCTTGATGTGGTTTCCTCTAAAATATTTTCATCTTCTTGTACTTTTAATTTTTTAATTAATTTATTTGCCTCTTCGCATAGTTCAATGGCTAAAATTTCTCTATCATCTTCACTTAAATTATTGATTGTAGTGGTTGTATTTGATGTTGTGTTATTGGTCATTCTTTGGTTTATATAATTTTTTTTCGTTTTTTTTTTATTTTTTTTTATTTTTCGTTTTTTTTTTTTTTTTAATTTAAAATTTTTTTTTTATAAATATCTTACAAATTTTTTTAAATTTAATAATAATTAAAAAAAACAGTAAATATATTTGTTTTGTGGTAAAGGGGTATGATAATCCCATCATATTATCCAAAATTAATAGCCTATTACGGTTTCTTTGAAAATAGACCATTGGACAATTTTACCAAAGAATCAGTTTTAAGGTTTTCAAATGTTGGTATGTTGCATGGGAAACAAGTAAGATTGTCTGATCTATCAGAGAATACCAAATGTAGTTTGACGCAACAAAATTAGAAGAATTATAAAAACCAAATATAAACTTTTTTTTTATTTTTCATAATTTATTTTTGTCAGAAATTTTCATATATCCTAATTATTATTATTATAACACTACTTCAATATCATGATAAATAGATATTTTTATATTTTTTTATTACCAAATCCAATAACAAATAAACTAAAATATTAATATTTTTAATCTATATAATATTTTTTTTATTTTTTTATTTTAATATTTTATAAATTTTTTTTTTCTAATAAATTTTCTATTATTCTATTATTCTATTATTAAGGTTTTTCTTTATTTCAAAAGGAATAAAATTATTAAAAAAATGATTAATTGATGTACTTATACCAGAAACATTAGTATTACTATAATCAATAAATATTTTATTTTTTTGAATGCTGTCATATTGAATATTATTATTATTAATATTATTATTATTATTATTTTTTATTTTTTTATTATTATCATTATTATTATTATTATTTTTTTTATTACTAGGTCTTAATTTAATTTCTGCTCTATCAAAAGTTAATCTCTGAAATATAAATGGGTTTTTATATTTATATTTTCCTTGGTATAATTCAATATGAATAGTTTTGAATGGTTCGAGTAATTCAATCATTTTTGAAACAAAGCTGTGTTTTTGGGGTGCTTTGCAACTATACTTTAATCTTACAGTTTTCAATGTTGATGAGTGGTATTCTAAAAGATTATTGATTATACTTGTATCGAATTCGTCTGGTAAATACAGTGATTGTTGGTTTATAATTGTAAATTCTTCTATTTTGCAACCAGTATTTGATAAAATATATTTTATTAAATATAACCCACCAGTTTCAACTTTATATGATTGGCATTTGGTTGCTCTACCAAGAACTGTAAGTTTTGTTAAAAAAGGGAATGAGTACGTTGGGGGAAAAGTTGTATATCCAATATCATATATGTTATAATCGTTATTTGAACAACCTTCTTTCACATTTATAGCATCACCAACTATAATTAAATTTTCAACTTGAGCAAATGCATAGTCAATAAATTCATACGGGGTAGTTCTAATAAGTGTATCATATCGAATATTTGTAAATGGTTTTTGAAATAAGCTGAATGGTTTACCAAAAGAAATTTGACCAGTTAAAAATTTATCATACTTATAGGTGCTCCAATCTATATCTTCTAATACTCTCCCCAAATTATAATGGAATCTCTTTGAAACAGAGGCTAATGACATTATTGCTAGGCTGGTTGATAAGAAAATTTCCCTCCTTTTATCAACACTTGAAACTATTTTCTCTTTTGGTTTTGGATCGATCGGTTGGTACTCTATCTTCCATTTAAGGAATTTGTTGGTGTATAAAATGTAGCCGATGATTTTTTGTATTAGCAAATTGTATAAATAAATTTCTTTTCGATCATTATTTGCTGATGTTGTTACATTTGGTTTTAATTTCTTTTTTGATTTTAAAGGTTCCTCTATTGTTATTTCGTTGTAAGGTCTTTTATTGTTTATAAATAATCCTTTTATTATTGGTTTATATGATTGTAATGTGGTTATTAAGTTTGTTAAATTAGGATCTTCCATTTTGGATAATGTGTCATAAAGCAAATTATAGAAATAGAGTTGGGAAATTGAGGTAGGAGGGTGAGAATCTATAAACTTTTGAAAATATTGAATAAAAACTTGAGTGTTATTTGTTTGTATTGATTTTAAATCTAATAATAGTTCTAAATTCTTTATAAATGATTTATTTTGAAATTTTGATTTTGATTCTGATAAGTCTTCTGTTGATGATGTTAGTCTGAGCTCTTCTAATCTACTTTTATCTTTGAAAATTTTATCTAGAATAAAAAATATATTATTTATATTACAGTTACGATTTGATATAGTCTTTAAATATTTGTAGCATTCATTAACCATAGTTGATTTATCTAAAATAACTTTAGATATAAATTTGTGTATTTCTTTTTCATTTCTATCTTTCTTATTTAAATAATATTTAAAGAATTGTATTACTATATAAACTCGAGCTACTTGATTGTCTTTCAAATTGTCAAATAATTTGAATACTTGAATTGCTTCATTATATGGTATATAGTTGGGGTACTGTTGATATGTAGATGAGAGGGAGGGGTGAGAAAATGATTTATATAAATTTTCAACATTTAAATTGTTATCTAAGTTTTTAATATTGTTATTAATATATTCAAAAAACCCAAAAGCATCATTTGATACACAAATCATTTTATTCGTTATATTATTAATATAAATTTTGTAGTTATTAATGTAAAAGTTTTATTATTATCTTTACTATCTTTTTCTTTTTTTTTCTTTGGCTGTATATTCCTCTCACTATTGAAAATTATTTTTAAAAAAATTTTAATTTGAATTTTAAACAATGTTGCTTTAATAAATTCAAAAAAAATTAAAAAAATTTAAAATTTAAATAAATTATTTAAAAAAAGTTTTAAAGAAAAACAATTGAAAAATATTATAATATATTTGAAATTATAAATAAATGTATTTTTTAATTTTTTTTTTTTTAATTTTTTTTAATTTTTTTTATTATTTTTGAAAATAAAAAGAGTTGTAAATATACTATATATGGGCTCTTTTTAGTCGTGACGAATTTGATCAAGATTATTGAGACGGTCAGTGTAACCAGCTCCGGTAAGTTTTAAGAATACTTGTTCTAAAGAGGTTTGTGAAACAGAATAGTCATCTAAGATTGAACCTAAATCGTGTTGGAGAATATTAAATAATTGAGAAACTTTAACTGGATTGGATGAATCATTTGATACTTCGAATGATGCAATTAAGTCGTGTTGATCTAAAAGTTTAGCATGTGGGAAGCTTTGTAAAACTCTTTGAACACCATTATCGAATGACTCTCTCTTAAATTTAACATCAAATGAATAACCTGCACCAAACTTATTCTTTACATGTTGAATAGAACCTAAACATGTGAATTTACCATCCTTCATAATTGTAATTCTAGAACAAAGAGCTTTAAAATTTTATTGGTGTTAGTATAAAAAATAAAAAATTTAAAATAAAAAAATTAAATAAAAAATATTTACCTTGACACTCTTCCATTGAATGAGTTGTAATAATAATTGAACGGCCTTTGCTTAATTCAGTAACAACATTCCAAATATAACGACGTACTACTGCATCACAACCAGTACTAAATAAAAATAAATAAAAAAGTTAGAGATATTATTTAAAATAAAAAATTTATAAAAAATTTATAAATTATTTTATAATTACCTTGCTTCATCCAAATAAACTACTTGTGGATCACCCAACATGGCAATTGATAATGATAATTTTCTCTTATTACCACCAGAATAACCACCACAGTTACTATTTGCAATACGACCCATATCCATCATACTAATAAATGCCTCAACTACATCTTTAATTTTACTTTCTTCAATACCTTTGATTCTACAATAGAGGTAAAGTTGTTCACGGGCTGATAATAAACCTACTAAAGCATCAAATTGTGGACACATTGAAATGTTTTTAAGGGCTTGTGATCTTTCACTTACTAAATCAAAACCATTAATTGTTACTTGACCAGAGGTTGGCATAATATCACCACAAAGCATTGAAAGAGTAGTTGTTTTACCGGCACCATTTAGACCCAATAAACCAAAGGTTTGACCACGTGGAATACCCAAACATGTATTATGAACTGCAATTTTATCTTGATTCTTTCCTTTACCTTTAAAGAGTTTATGTAATGAATCTACTTTGACAACTTCTTCTACACTATGAATTCTTGTTCTTTCATCATGAACATCAGAGTCTTCATCGGTTGGTGGTTGTGGTGAGCTAATATCTTTTGGATTCTTAAAGTAACCTCTAATTTCTGGTGTATAGTCTAATAACATAATCCATGTAATCCATACTATACAATGAACAAATAAAATAATAATTGGTGTACCACCATAATGAATTGCCCAATAATTATCAACCTTATATTGACCAACACGCATAATTGGGAATTTGGAAACCAATAAGAGAATCTTTGAGTAAGCAAAGAGTGGCGATAAAATAGAGAAAATAACATCGATAGCGTCCCCAACAGTTTGGAAAGTTTTGCTCTTATCCAAATCTTCGTTTTCAACAAGTACTTGAATACGGATATTGAGTGAAATAATTAAGAAAACGATGCCCATTGCAAAGACGATTGCAGCAATGGCACCTGTAGCTTTACCATGAGTGGTGAAACGGTATGATAAGAGATAAGCCAATGGAATAGTTGAAACACAATATAAAATAATACCTAAGAAAAAGAGGCCAAATTGTTGTCTAAACTCTTCTTTAATAATTGCTAATACTATGGCAGTAATAAGGACTACAACGAATGCGAAAATATAATCCCAGATAAGATTTGATAACCAATAAACATATTTCTTACAACCAGAGATATATAATAATCTTTTAATACGGTTGGTACGTTCTTGGGCAATATTACCAGCAAATGAGGCGACCATAAGAGCTAAACCTGCCATCATAATAATGTTGAAATATAAAATACTTGAAATATTTAAACCTTCAGCAGAGAGATCAAAGAAACTTAAAACATGCTTGAATGGCATACTTGTTACTTGAATTTCGATATTGTTAAATTCCTTTAATAATGCACTATCAATTAAATTAATATGAATTGGTGCTGAATGAAGAGCTTTCTTGTTATAAAATGCATTGTATGCTACAACATCATCTTGAGCTAATTGGGTGGTAACATTAATGGCACCAGTACTATCTAAATAATTATGGACTAAATAGTCTTCAAAGTCAACTGATTGGTTAATATATTTGAATTGACTAAAGAAACTACTTGAACTAAGAGTATCGAAATCCACTTGGCTAACATCTTGAACTGGAACAACATTGTTTGGTCCATATTGTGATAATGACATTGTTAATGGTGTAAGAACATCATTGTAAAATACTTGAGCATCATCCATAACACTAAAAATAATAATGGAGCCAATGATACAAGCCAATGGGATAACGATTGTTAAAAAGAACGATTTCAAATCTTTGATTGAGGTACGGATACGTTTAATTAAGAGACCTTTCAATTGTTGACCTGTAGTAACACCATTTGATGATGTTGCAATTCTAGCTTTTAACATTTCAGATTCTTGAGTTTCATTCTTATAAATATTTGAGCCATTTCCACCACTAGATTCTTGACCGATTTTTAAGAAAACTTCCTCCATTGTTGTAACTGAAATACCATAAGTACTAATACCGAATGAACCATTATCTATTTCATTATCAAAATCTTTAAAGAATTGACCAAATTTGGGTAATGAAGATGTTGGAAGACGATAACTAAGTTCTGTACCTGCATTTGATAAAATATTGGCTTCTGGAATATAACTTTGAACAAATTGAGTAACTTGATCAGTGTTAAAATCGTCTAATGTTGAAATATTCTTACTACAAGTTAATAAATAACCTTTAAATAATTAAATATATATATTAGTAAATCTTTAAAATTTAATAATTTTATAAAATAATTGATAATATAAATATTTACCACAACCAAATTTATTCTTCAAGTATAAACTTGAGCCATCGCAACGTAATTTACCAAATGAAATAATTGCAATTCTATCACCTAAGAAATCAGCTTCATCCATAAAATGTGTTGTTAAAATAATAGTTCTTCCTTTTTTATATTTTAATAAAAAGTCCCAAACACCACGACGACTTAATGGATCCATACCTAAAATCATTAAAGAAAAAAGTATTAATAAATATTCAGTGAAAAGATTATAATTTTCTATGACGTATAACTTACCTGATGTACATTCATCAAGGAATACGACTTCACTACGACCAATGAAAGCAATACCCAAACATAATTTTCTCTTTTGACCACCAGATAAAGAACCAGCTGGAGTATGGAGTTTTTCACCTAAATCAACTTCTATAGCCATTTTTTCTGCCTCTCTTTCGATATTATTTGAACTAACACCTTTTAATGATGCATAAATCTTTAAATGTTCTAAAACTGATAATTGAGACCAAATAATATCTTGTTGTAAACAAACGCCTAAAAAAAAATTTTGTTAATAAATTAATTTTTTTTATAATATAATAATATTGATAATTACCTAATGTTCTTCTAACTTTACTCATACTTGTTGTAATATCATTACCTTGAATATAGGCAGTACCAGCTGTTGGTGTAATTAAACCAGTTAACATACCAATGGTTGTTGATTTACCACTACCATTTGGACCCAAAAATGCATGAATTTGATTCTCGTACATATCTAAACATAAATCATTTACTGCAACACGTAAACCATCACCAGTATGGAATTCTTTTCTTAAACTCTTTAAAGAAACTGTATTTTTAGTTTTAAGATCGGCTGGAACCATTTCAACATCTTCGTTGCTTGATACTAAGGATGATTCGATATCATCTCCAAATCCATTTCCTGATTTTTTACCAATACCTCTCCAATATGAAACAGTGAAAATAAAATACCATGGTCTTTTAGTACCATATTCGGTTGGTACAACTTCTTGTAAATACCAAATTAAAAATAAATATAAAAATAAATCTAATATTAACATTCCAATGATATCCCTAATTAAAGAAAAAAATTAGTATACTATTCAATTAATTTAATAACTATTAATTTTAAAAAATAATACATACTTTTCTGATACAATATAGTCCCAATTAACAGTTAAAACATCTGCTGGAATATCTCTAACTACTGATGTATAGAAGGAACATGCAAAAGCAATTGGTGAAAAAAGTGATAAAAATAACTTGATTGAAGTGTTGAAATTACCCTTTGCAACAAAAATACCAAAGATGTTAATAACAACTACGATAATGATGGATACCAAACCACTAAACTTTGATTTATCGAAAAAGATCGCGAAGATAAAAGACAATGATAAAAGAGTTAAGAGGTAAATGATAAAGGTAAAGAACACAATGGCAAAGGATGTTGTATAAATAACATTGGATGCTTTGAAAATGATGACAATAATAATGGCAACTGGTAACGATGTAACCAAAATTGTTATCATCCAACTGCTAAAATAGGCCATATCATTAAGACCCATCATCTTCATACCCTCACGAATCTTTGTCTCTTTTTCAATAACTAGATCGGTAATAAGACGGAAACCAAAAATAAAGAATGCAGCAGTAACAAAAACAGAACCTGCATCTTTTAAAATTGAATTTCTACCATCTATCCATTTTTGCCAACCTTCAACATATGGATCTGGATAACGTTGGCCACTAACCTTTAAGGTTTTTTTTAAACCATAATAATTATAAATAGCTTGATCTACAGCAACCTTTATGAAACATATGGTTAGTATAAATAATAATCAAAGGATATGTGTTTATAAAATTAAGGAATATTATTAATACATACTTGTATACTAGCCCAATTTTCTTTAAAGTAAACTTCTGAATCCCCACTTTTATCTGTGATTTCTTCATTGTCATTGACATCTTCACTGTCTAATCTTATATTATATTGAAATGGTACAGTTCCACCTGGTGTTGCACTTGTGTTGAACCATACAGCACCATAAATTGTTTTTGAATTATTTGCAAAATAAACCTCCATGTCATCTTTATTATTAATTTCTAAAAAAAATGTATCTACAACATCTGAAGTCAATTGTCTATCAGTTTGAACTTGCTCCTTCAAAGCATTAATAACACCCTCTTGTTCAGCAGTTAACGATCCCTCTGCCGAGCCATATAATAATACACTTTGATTACTAACTCTATTTGATAATACCCCTGTTGCGTCATACGGGTCATAGTTTGGTTTAAATGCAGTAACCAAGCCTTTGGTATTATTAATAAAAATTTAAATGAAAAAAATTAAAAATATTAAAAAAAAAATAAAAAAATAAAAAAATTAATATTTAAAAAAAATAAATAAAATGATAATTATAAAATGTGATTAAACATACCTAATATAGCAAATATAACACCAACGATAACAATAGGAAATATTATCTCACAAATAATCCCACATTTTGACTTCTTTTTTAATAAATAATTTTTTTTTAATAAGGTTTTTAGTTGGGTTGAATACTCTTTAACCATATTTAGTATTTATAAATATTTAAATCAATTAAATATTTAACTCTATATGTATATGTATATGTATATATAAATAATAAACTAATATATAATTATTTATATCTATTTAATAAATTAAAAGTACAATTTTAAAAAAATAAATAAACTAGAAAATTGAATAATTGAAAAACTAAAGTTTAATAAATAAATAAATATAAATAAATAAATAAATAATGTTTTAATAATGAAATATGAATGAATGAATGAATGAGCAAATGAAATGAAACTATAAATAAAAAAATAAAATCGATTAGAAATAAAAAAAAAAAAAATAAAAAAAATAAAAAAAATAAAAATTATAAATAAGTGTTAAACCTAATAATAATTAAAATATAACCTGAAACACCTGTTTTTCTATAACCACAATACAATCAAAAATGATCTTTATTTTATTATCCTAAAAATCTTTAATTTTTAAAAAACAAATAAAATATATAAAATGCAAACCAAATCTGATGGCGAGCTTGAAACTGTTAGTAAAGTGTAAAAAAAAAAAAAATTAAAATATTGAAAATATAAAAATAAACATGTGTGGTTATATATATAAAATGATTTTATAAAGAATTTATTGAATCTTAAATTAGGGTTATAAGTATATTTTTAGTTTTCAAAAAAAAAAAAAATTAAAAAAAAAACAAAAATAAAAAAACAAAAAAATAAAAAAATTATTTTAAAATAATTTTTTGATATAACCCTCCCCAAAAAAACACCATTTTTTTTATTTTTATAACAACATCCAAAAGATGGCTATCTTTTAATTTGTAACCTAAAACAAACGGAAAGTGTTTTTTCTCACCTCCCATTTTCACAATATAATTATTAAAATAAAATACTTATTTTTATTAATGTTTTTAAAATAAAATTCAAAAATAAAAATTTTTTTTTTTTAAAAACTATTAAAAAAAAGTTTTTTTTTTTTTAAATTTTTTTTATTTTAAAGTATTGTTATAAATATAATTTTTTTTTAGTATAAATTAAATTTGATTTTTTTTTTGATAATCTAAATGATAAATTTTTTTATTTTTTTAATTATTTAAAAAAACTAAAATTTATAATATTTATTTATTATTTTTTTATTTAAATTAATATTTGAAAATGATTTTGAGTCTTAATAAATTTTTCTTAACTAAAATAACAGAGGCAATAATAATTGCAGCACCAACGACACCACAAATAACAGAGATGGTTATAATTTTAGACTTGGAAAGACCACTACCACCACCACCATTATTTTTGGATTCAACTTCATCATAACAAGATGACCCTTTATTTTTGGATAAATCATCAACATCGATGAGTACAGAGAAATCTGGATCTAATACTGCATTTTTATAATAATATGGGATTTGAATACCAATAACAGCATGTTGATTTTCTATAGTTGGTTCGACAACTAATTTGTTTTGAATATTAATTGAACGATAATCAACGAGAGCATGTTGGATGAATTTACCAAAAATTGATTTGTCATCTGAACGTAATTTAATCCATTCTACACAATTGTCTTCGTTTAATTTAATACTATTTAATTTACATTTTGAATCTGCAATATCGATTGAAGCATTGACATTTAATTGAAGGCTGTTTAATATGCTAGCAAATGGGTATGAATCTAAGGTGATGGTATATTTAACAGTATTTTTATCCATTTGAATATTGTAACCAGCAAATGAAATGGTATCTGGGCCATCAAAGAGATCAACAACAACTTTAATTTTTGAACCAGTATTACCTAAACCAATGATATATTGATAAGCTTTTTTACCTGATTGGAGTTGTGAATCTACGGTTGTAGCATTCCATAATTTATTTAAAAATGGATAGGTATTTACAGTTTGATTAAAAACATCAATTTAGATAAGTTCATTAAGAAGAATCATTGAACCAAATGAGCTAAAGGATGGGGTATCTGAATTTGGTTTATTAAGAGGTAAGCTGGTTGATGAGCAATCTGGACCTGAAAAACCTTGATCACAAACACATTTTGAACTAACACATGTACCTTTACCACTGCAGTCACTTAATGATGAACAATTTGATGCTTGTGAAACTGGGTTAACAATTGGAATAACTGAAATAATATTGGACTCTTGTGAACCAGATCTAACCTTGAATTTAACTAAACTAATTCCTTTAACACTTGGTACATTGAGGGTAAGAGCAAGGTTTGATTGGAAGGTTGGTGTTATAACTTCAAATCTACTTCCTTTATCCATGTAAACAACTGGTGAATCAGTAAAAGCTCTACCATAAATAAAGAGTTTACCACCATCCTCTTTGAGATCGGTGTTTTCTAAAATAACTGGTGGTTTTGATGAGGCTGAGTTAACCATTGGTCGACCAAAACCTAAAACTTTAAGATCTTGTGATGAGTATGAAGCCATATTTAATGAGTTATCTACAATACCATGAATTGATACAATGGCACCATATGCTAAAGCACCATAATCAAAGTTGATTTCTGCACGATAATTATAAATACCAGTATTGTTATCTTGACTTACTTTTACACTTTGAACTCTAACATGGTTTTGATATAAGAATTGAACATAGACGTATGGATTATGTCTAAGAGATATACCTGAACCTAAATCTTCATCTTTAATTGAGAATTCAAAAGTGGCTACTCTATTGATACCAAAACTATCAAATGATTGTGGGTATGAGAAAGATAAAAGTTGTGGAGCAGTAACATCTTTTTGTTGTGATGGTGAGCTAATATTTACTTGAATATTTCTTTCTAATGTAAATTTACTGTTGTAAAAAGCATCAAAGCCACTATTTAGTTGAGGTGGATATTGTGAGAAATAACCATTTTTATCATAGAATATGCATTTTGAAATAAAGAATACTTGATCAACATATGCTTCGACATTGAATCTAATTGAATATGTGGGATTGATATCACTTCCAAAGATTGTGGTATTTGGTTTGATGTTGAATACTCTTGGTTCATAATCTAAATTGCTAGAAACCTCAATAACTCCATAATCTAAACCGACTGGGTAGTCATAAATTTCAATATCCCAACCAAGTTCAACAGAGTTACCTTGTGCAACAGTTAATTGATAATCGGTGGCTTTAAGACTTGTAATAGTTGGTGGATAATGATCTACATAGTTTGATGTTAATTTGACTACTTGATCTGGGAAATAAATTTCAATATCATATGGATATACTGTAAGTGGAGCAATAAATAAGTAATATTTGAAGGTACCACGGTCTCTTGCTTGGGCTTTAAGTTTAACATCAAACATCTGAGTAGTTTTGTTCCATGTACCAAGGTAATCGGTGTAACCTTTACGCATATCCAAGTAAACGACAGTAACTCTTGGAATAACAGAGGTTTCGCTAGCACCATCGAAATTGATACTTAATGTGAGATCTAAATCATCAAATGATGTATCGATATGTAAACGATCAAATTTGAAATAGGTAATATTTGATGTTCTGAGATTTTCTAAAACTGTAATGCCACCAAAGTCCATATCTGAGAAAACCAATTGAGAATTGTATAGATTAAAGTTACCCATATAATCGGTATTCATCATAACCAATTCGTTGTTTAAAACATCACTAGAAGTAGCTAAAATTTGATAGATACCGTTATTAATATCACCAGAGACAATAGCCTGTTTAGCAAAAATAGCTACATTTGGAATAAGTCCAAAGATATTGAGTAAGCCAGAACCAATATCGGTAATATTAAAGGTTATTAACAATTTGTTGTTTTCTAATTGTTGTACAGAGTAATGACGAAGGAATGGTCCTTCTGGATCTGATTTAATAAGACCTGGGAAGTTTGGAATACTAATAGAATTACCTAAACCAACTCCACCATATGAACCATAGGAATCCATTCCAACAGAGTATTGGCCCCCATAATTTGAATTTACAAATAATGAATTACTATTAAAGCTCCAATATGAGTTTGAATTGCTTTTTGAGATACCATATGGATAAATGGGTGATGTTGAATTTGTAAATGGGCCAATAAAATAAAGTGGTGAAGCATAAATGTTGTTGCTAAGATATGGTGTTTGGAACTGAGTTTTAAATACAAGATTTCCTGTTTCTGTACTTTGTTCAATGGTGAATACTGGAGAAATTGGTGAATGTGATGATGGTGGATTTTTAGTGGTAAAGTTTAAAGTAAATGGAACTGTGACTTGTGATGCAATATCAAGATAGCTATAATTTTCTTTTGCTCCATTTCCTATATTAAAGGTAAAAATCATGGTTTGTTCTTCTGGAGTACCTAAAACTAAAGAACCTTCTGTAAATGATTGAGTAGATTCACTTTTAAGTAATTGTGTTGTATTTAATTCGCTATAGATAACTTGAAGAGTTACTTTTAAACTTTGAGATGTTTCACGAAGAATTTCAGAACCATTCGGTGGGTTTACACTGATTGATTTTATGACTGATTGCTTTGGTGAGGTATTGAAAAGAGTATTTTTGACTTGGATTGTCTTTGAAACACCATTTAAATCGGTAATAGTAACATCATAGATTTTTTGTGCCATTTTAGTTGGATCTAATGGTGTACCTACAATAAAGATATATTCTGGATAAACGCCAAAACTACATTGTTTTGCAAATGGAACAGTACATTTTAAACCATATCCAACATTTGTAATAGATGTATCTGCAAATTTAAAATAAAAACCATAAGACATTGATTGTTCATTTAAATAAAAATCACTTATATATACAATGTCGAGTGCTGGTGATGAAAGATCAAATTCTATTTATTTATAATAATTAATTTAGTGTTTAAAATTTTTAATAAAATTTTTTAATAGTTTAAATAATTTATAAAATATAAAATAGAAGAATAATTACTTTTACATTCAAATATTTGATTAGGGAAATCTTCCTGATCGAATTGAATTGCAAGATTTGAAGTTTGGCCATTAGAATTGGTTGCTGTAAATGGAATTTGATTGTATGTTCCATAAGGAATTGAAAACATAAGATTAAATTCTTTTTGGGTTCCTTCATAGTATACTTTTTTAGGGTTATAGTCGATAATATTACTACTGAACGAGGTAATTTCGTATTTATCGTCAATAACTAAACCAATAGTAACTTGACAACCTGTACTATATATACCATATTCGTATGCTTTTTTATAATTGTGTTTTACAAGAGTTGCTCCATTTGAAAAACTAAAAAAAAATAATAAACTAAATAAAAAGAAAAAGAAAAATAAAACAAACCTCATTTTTTTTAAGTATTTCGAAGGGATTAATCCTTTTTTTTTTTTTTAAAAAAAAAAATTTGAAAAAAGTTGTTTTTTTATTTTTTTTTTAAATTTTATTAAAAATTTATATTTAACCATAAATATCTCAATAAAAAATATAAAAAATTTTCTGATGAACATAATGTTAATCTTTTTTAAATATAATATTTTGATTTTGATTTTTTTTTGCATTACAAAATTTTTTAATAGAATTTGGAAGAAAAAGACCAAAAGACTGCAATAAAAATTTTATTAATCTATACCAAATTAAAGTTTTGACAGCTATCCACTAATAGTTAAAGAATTGTATAATGGAAAAGAAATTTTATTTGATGAATTTGAAGTATCACTTATAAATCTGGATAAAAAAGAATTTTACTTTCCACTAGATGATATTGAAGACAATTAAGATAGCGAGAAAATCAAGAGGAAGATCTTTTTGTATTCAAGAACGGGATTCATCCTTTTTTTAGTTGGTATTATATCACCCATCATATTTTTAAACAAATAGGATGATTTAAAGTGATGGTTATTATACAAAAAATGTTTTATGAAAAATACAATTGAAACTATTGACCACAAAAGATAAAATTTTTTTTTTTAAATTGAACAGTTGGCATTTAAAAATATTAAAATTATTATTTTCATTAATTGTTTTAGAAATCTTAAAATTTAAATCAGGTCATTAAAACCACTGAATGTTTACCGTTAATTTTTCAACATGATCAAATTGAAACTATAAAATCATCACTATTTACAACAATTTTTTTGAGCAATAATTTAAAAATAATAACAATGATTGAATAATAAGAATAATAATTATAATATTTCAACAAATAATAACATAAATACAATAATATAAAATCAATAATAAAACAATACCTAGAGTTATCATGAAAAAAAAAAAAAAAATTAAAAATAAATTAAATAAATTAAATGAATAAAATAAGTGTAATTGTACTTTCAAAAAAAAAATAATGCCCAAAAAATAAAGAAATTTTTTTTTTAAATTTAAAGATTTTTTATTTAATTTTTAAAGATAATAAAATGATATTAATACCATTATTTTATTTATTTTATTTATTTTTTATACTATTAGCCACTCTTTGTAAAGAGTGTTTCCAGCTCTACCACGGGGAGGTTAGTATATTAGAGCCAAATGGTTAATTATGTATCCCACCACGTAGAATACATAATTAACCACCATATTGAAAATTAGGTGAATTTCAAAAACATAGATAAAACTCAGTATCTATGTAATCAAAATAAATATTGAGATTTGATTATATGATCCACAGAACTTGAAATTTTGAATGCTACATAATATTTGAAATTTTTAATTCTCAATAATTCTTGATATGTTTAAGTGTTAAATAGTCCTTGATAATTTAAATGCTAAATTATATTTAATGTTTTTGAATGATATAATTCTTGAAATTTTTTAATGATAAATAATACTTTATATGTTTAAATGCTAAATAATCCATAATATATTTAATGATAAATAATCCTTGATATTTAAATGCAAATAATATTTGATGTTTTTGAATGATATAATACTTGATATTTTTAATCCTAAATAATCCTTGATTTTTTTAATAATATATAATACTTGATATTAATGATCCATAATTTTTGATATATTTTGAATGTTGTAACAAAATAAATAAAAAAATTATAGTTGAATTTTAATTATTAAATGCTAAAAAATCCTTCATATTTAATGCCAAATAATCCTTGATATTTTTAAATGCCAAATGATCCTTTATATTTTTAATATTTAATAATCCTTTATATATTTAAATGATACACAATAGTTGATATTTTTATATTCTTAATAATCCTTGATAATTTTTAATAATCAATAATATTTGATATATTTAAATGTTACAAAATACTTGATAATTTTTAATGATCAATAAAATTTGATCTTCTTGAATATTATACAATACTTGATATGTTTTAATTATCCAATAAGATACTTACCTAATAATCACTATACAATAAATCTTAATATTTTTTAATAATCCAATCCACTTGAATTTATTTGAATGTGTATAATAATAATAAAATTTATAAAATTATTTTCTTTATGTAATCATCTTTCAAGACACCCAATAAAAAAAAAATAAAAAATAAAAAATTAAAAAAAATTAATTTTGTATTTTTTTAATTAAATTTATTTTTTTAATTTTAATTATATAAATTTATATTAAAGTGGGGTTTTTTTTTTAAATTTTTTTTTTATAAATTAAACACATCTCCTTTTAAATATATCATTTATTATAATTCATTTTAAATAAAATAAAGTATGAACTTGGAAGTTCATTAAATGATAATGAAATTGTATTCATATATAAAAAAATAAAATAAAATAGTAATATAAAAAAAAATAATAATAGAAAAAAAAAAATAAAAAAATAAATAAATATTTTAATATTAAAAAATTCCTTTATTCATTCATTTATTTTTATTTTGAAGCATAGATAAATAATATTTTTTTTTTTAGTATAAATTAAATTTGATTTTTTTTTTTTTTTGATCAAAATGATAAATTTTTTTATTTTTTAATTATTTAAAAAACTAAAATTTATAATATTTATTTATTATTTTTTATTTTAATTATTGATATTTGAAATTGATTTTTTGAATTTTAGTAATTTCATATTTTTCTTAACTAAAATAACAGAGGCAATAATAATTGCAGCACCAACGACACCACAAATAACAGAGATGGTTATAATTTTAGACTTGGAAAGACCACTACCACCACCACCATTATTTTCGGATTCAACTTCATCATAACAAGATGACCCTTTATTTTTGGATAAATCGTCAACATCGATAAGCACAGAGAAATCTGGATCTAATACTGCATTTTTATAATAATATGGGATTTGAATACCAATAACAGCATGTTGATTTTCTATAGTTGGTTCGACAACTAATTTGTTTTGAATATTAATTGAACGATAATCAACGAGAGCATGTTGGATGAATTTACCAAAGATTGATTGATCATCTGAACGTAATTTAATCCATTCTACACAATTGTCTTCATTTAATTTAATACTATTTAATTTACATTTTGAATCTGCAATATCGATTGAAGCATTGACATTTAATTGAAGGCTGTTTAATATGCTAGCAAATGGGTATGAATCTAAGGTGATGGTATATTTAACAGTATTTTTATCCATTTGAATATTGTAACCAGCAAATGAAATGGTATCTGGGCCATCAAAGAGATCAACAACAACTTTAATATTGGAACCAGTATTACCTAAACTAATGATATATTGATAAGCTTTTTTACCTGATTGGAGTTGTGAATCTACGGTTGTAGCATTCCATAATTTATTTAAAAATGGATAGGTATTTACAGTTTGGCCAAAAACATCAATTTCGATAAGTTCATTAAGAAGAATCATTGAACCAAATGAGCTAAAGGATGGGGTATCTGAATTTGGTTTATTAAGAAGTGAGCTGGTTGATGAGCAATCTGGACCTGAAAAACCTTGATCACAAACACATTTTGAACTAACACATGTACCTTTACCACTGCAGTCACTTAATGATGAACAATTTGATGCTTGTGAAACTGGGTTAACAATTGGAATAACTGAAATAATATTGGATTCTTGTGAACCTGATTTAACCTTGAATTTAACTAAACTAATTCCTTTAACACTTGGTACATTGAGGGTAAGAGCAAGGTTTGATTGGAAGGTTGGGGTTATAACTTCAAATCCACTGCCTTTATCCATGTAAACAACTGGTGAATCAGTAAAAGCTCTACCATAAATAAAGAGTTTACCGCCATCTTCGTTGAGATCGGTGTTTTCTAAAATAACTGGTGGTTTTGATGAGGCTGAGTTAACCATTGATCCACCAAAACCTAAAGCTTTAAGATCTTGTGATGAGTATGAAGCCATATTTAATGAGTTATCTACAATACCATGAATTGATACAATGGCACCATATGCTAAAGCACCATAATCAAAGTTGATTTCTGCACGATAATTATAAATACCGGTATCGTTATCTTGACTTACTTTTACACTTTGAACTCTAACATGGTTTTGATATAAGAATTGAACATAGACGTATGGATTATGTCTAAGAGATATACCTGAACCTAAATCTTCATCTTTAATTGAGAATTCAAAAGTGGCTACTCTATTGATACCAAAACTATCAAATGATTGTGGGTATGAGAAAGATAAAAGTTGTGGAGCAGTAACATCTTTTTGTTGTGATGGTGAGCTAATAGTTACTTGAATATTTCTTTCTGATGTAAATTCACTGTTGTAAAAAGCATCAAAGCCACTATTTAGTTGAGGTGGATATTGTGAGAAATAACCATTTTTATCATAGAATATGCATTTTGAAATAAAGAAAACTTGATCAACATATGGTTCGACATTGAATCTAATTGAATATGTGGAATTGATATCACTTCCAGAGATTGTGGTATTTGGCTTGATGTTGAATACTCTTGGTTCATAATCTAAATTGCTAGATACCTCGATAACACCATAATCTAAACCGACTGGGTAGTCATAAACTTCAATATCCCAACCAAGTTCAACAGAGTTACCTTGTGCAACAGTTAATTGATGGTCGGTGGCTTTAAGATTTGTAATAGTTGGTGGATAATGATCTACATAGTTTGATGTTAATTGGACTACTTGATCTGGGAAATAAATTTCAATATCATATGGATATACTGCAAGTGGGGCAATAAATAAGTAATATTTGAAGGTACCACGGTCTCTTGCTTGGACTTTAAGTTTAACATCAAACATCTGAGTAGTTTTGTTCCATGTACCATAGTAATCGGTGTAACCTTTACGCATATCCAAGTAAACGACAGTAACTCTTGGGATAACAGAGGTTTCGCTAGCACCATCGAAATTGATACTTAATGTGAGATCTAAATCATCAAATGATGTATCGATATGTAAACGATCAAATTTGAAATAGGTAATATTTGATGTTCTGAGATTTTCTAAAACTGTAATGCCACCAAAGTCCATATCTGAGAAAACCAATTGAGAATTGTATAGATTAAAGTTACCCATATAATCGGTATTCATCATAACCAATTCGTTGTCTAAAACATCACTAGTAGTAGCTAAAATTTGATAGATACCGTTATTAATATCACCAGAGACAATAGCCTGTTTAGCAAAAATAGCTACATTTGGAATAAGACCAAAGATATTGAGTAAGCCAGAACCAATATCTGTAATATTAAAGGTTATTAACAATTTGTTGTTTTCTAATTGTTGTACAGAGTAATGACGAAGGAATGGTCCTTCTGGATCTGATTTAATAAGACCTGGGAAGTTTGGAATACTAATAGAATTACCTAAACCAACTCCACCATATGAACCATAGGAATCCATTCCAACAGAGTATTGGCCTCCATAATTTGAATTTACAAATAATGAATTACTATTAAAGCTCCAATATGAGTTTGAATTGCTTTTTGAGATACCATATGGATAAATGGGTGATGTTGAATTTGTAAATGGGCCAATATAATAAAGTGGTGAAGCATAAATGTTGTTGCTAAGATATGGTGTTTGGAACTGAGTTTTAAATACAAGATTTCCTGTTTCTGTACTTTGTTCAATAGTGAATACTGGAGAAATTGGTGATTGTGATGATGGTGGATTTTTAGTGGTAAAGTTTAAAGTAAATGGAACTGTGACTTGTGATGCAATATCAAGATAGCTATAATCTTCTTTTGCTCCATTTCCTATATTAAAGGTAAAAATCATGGTTTGTTCTTCTGGAGTACCTAAAACTAAAGAACCTTCTGTAAATGATTGAGTAGATTCACTTCTAAGTAATTGTACTGTATTTAGCTCGCTATAGATAACTTGAAGAGTTACTTTTAAACTTTGAGATGTTTCACGAAGAATTTCAGAACCATTTGGTGGGTTTACACTGATTGATTTTATGACTGATTGCTTTGATGAGGTATTGAAAAGAGTATTTTTGACTTGGATTGTCTTTGAAACACCATTTAAATCGGTAATAGTAACATCATAGATTTTTTGTGCCATTTTAGTTGGATCTAATGGCATACCTACAATAAAGATATATTCTGGATAAACGCCAAAACTACATTGTTTTGCAAATGGAACAGTACATTTTAAACCATATCCAATATTTGTAATAGATGTATCTGCAAATCTAAAATAAAAACCATAAGACATTGATTGTTCATTTAAATAAAAATCACTTATGTATACAATGTCGAGTGCTGGTGATGAAAGATCAAACTCTATTTATTTATAATAATTAATTTAGTGTTTAAATTTTTTAATAAAATTTTTTAATAATTTATAAAATATAAAATAGAATAATAATTACTTTTACATTCAAATGTTTGATCGAATTGAATTGCAAGATTTGAAGTTTGGCCATTAGAATTGGTTGCTGTAAATGGAATTTGATTGTATGTTCCATAAGGAATTGAAAACATAAGATTAAATTCTTTTTGGGTTCCTTCATAGTATTCTTTTTTAGGGTTATAGTCGATAATATTACTACTGAACGAGGTAATTTCGTATTGATCGTCAATAACTAAACCAATAGTAACTTGACAACCTGTACTATATATACCATATTCGTATGCTTTTTTATAATTGTGTTTTACAAGAGTTGCTCCATTTGAAAAACTAAATAAAAATAATAAAAAAAATAAAACAAATCCCATATTTTTTTTTTTTTTTTTTTTTAATGTATAAAATTAAAAAAATAGAATATATAAAAAAAAATTGGAAAAAGTAATAAAATATAATATATATAAATTATATAATAAAATAATGATACAAAAATAAATGAGAAGATAAATAAAATTTTATTGCGATGGTTTAAAAAAAAAAAAAATTATTATTTTTTTATTCACTAATTATTTTTTTGAGCAGGTTTAAGAAAAAAAATTGAATAATAACGACCACTGGGATATTTTTTTTTTTCTGCACAAAAATATCCATTATTAAAGCTCGTAAAAATGGTATCCACCTGATCCTATTCCTTTTAATTTTTAAAAAATCAACCAACTAATTTATTTTCAATTATTTTTTTTTAATTTTTTTTTTCTTTGGTTCCATGTGCAAAAAAAAAATAAAAAATAATTTTTCAACTTAAGACCTTAACCGAAAAAAAAAAAAAAAAAAAAAAAAAAAGAATACACAAAATAACCGTTTTTGTGATTGGTTAATTTTGGATGGATTAAAAAAAAAAAATTTCTATTTTTTTTTTACTTATTTTTATAAATAGTTTTTGTATTATATATAAAATTAAATATATTAATTTTTTTTTATATTAAATAGTTTTATTTTATATTATTATTGTGTTATTATATTTATTTATAAATTTTTTATAAGCCTTCTGAGGTGTGGCCAGGCATACCAAATTGTTTTGAAAATTCAACAACTTCTTTTCTAATCTCTTTAATTTCATTACTTTCGGCAATGGCCTTTTGGAAATCTGGCATTTTTTTACCAACTTTGGATTGAACATCTAAAGAAACTTTGACAACACGATCTAAGAAATCGACAACTTTAACAAAATCTTCTTCTTTGAGACCTCTTGAGGTGAGAGCTGGTGCACCTAAACGAATACCACCTGGAGCAATAGCATTGGTATCACCATAGACAGCATTTTTATTAACAGTGATGTGAGCTTCATCACAAGCTTTTTCGATTTTACTACCAGTAATACCTTGTGGACGAAGATCCCAGAGTACTAAATGATTATCGGTACCGTTAGTAACTAATGAATAACCACGTTTCTTTAATTCTTCACCCATAATTTGAGAGTTTCTTCTAACTTGTTTGACGTAATCTTGGAAATCGGTTGAGGCAGCTTCTTTAAGAGCTACAGCAATACCAGCAATGGTATTTTCGTGTGGACCACCTTGACATGATGGGAAAACAGCAAAGTTAATTCTATTTTCTAAATCGTCGTCGATAATATTGCCTTTGGCATCTCTTCTTTTGCTCTTTCTATAAAAGATTAAACCTGCACGTGGGCCTCTAAGAGTTTTATGTGTAGTTGTAGTAACAACATCGCAGAATAAAAATGGTGATATGGCTTGTTTACCTGCAACCATACCACTGATGTGAGCCATATCACATAATAAAAATGCGCCATGTTTATCTGCAATCTTTCTCATTCTTTCGTAATCCCATTCACGTGGATATGCTGATGCACCTGCAATTAATAATTTTGGTCTAAATAATGCTGCTGTTGCTTCCATTTTGTTATAATCAACATAACCTGTTTCGTTTACTTGATATGGCATTGATTCAAAGAAAATACTAGTTGCACTAATCTTCTTTTTATCAGTTTGATAACCATGAGTTAAACTAAATTTTAAATTAGAATAAATAGTTCACAAAAATTATTAAAAATTTAATATATTATAAAATACTTACTGACCACCTGATGGTAAATCTAAACCCATAATACGTTCGTGTGGTTTTAATAAACCAGTAAAGGCTGCAAAATTAGCAGTACTACCTGAGTATGGTTGAACATTAACGCCCCATTCTTCTGGATTTAAATTATATGTTTCTAATGCTCTTTTAATACAAAGGTTTTCTAATTTATCGACAACTTCATTACCACCATAATATCTTGCACCTGGTAAACCTTCAGCATATTTATTTGTAAAACATGATCCAACTGCTTCCATAACAGCTCTTGATGTAAAATTCTATATTTTTTATATTTTTTTATTTTTTAAAATAAAATATAAACATTATTAATAAATCGAGCAAAAAAAAAAAAAAAAAGAATATTTTTTATCTATAAAATAAAAAATCTTTTATCTATAATTTAAAATTAATTGAAATTTGAAGAAAAAAAAATTTTAAAAAAAAAGAATCTTTTTTTAATAGTTTTAAATTTCATATGAAAAATTGTATAAATAATATAATTAAGTATACTTTACCTCTGATGCAATTAATTCGAGACCAGTAAATTGTCTTTCTTTTTCTTTTCTAATTAAATCATAAATTTCTGGATCTGATTCTTTAACTGGTTTATTAGTCTATAAATAAATTATATATAATATTTAATGATATAATTTATAAAAAACATGTTAGTTTTTTTTATTTTATAATAATAAACACCACTGCTATTTAACATGAACTTTTTTTTTTTCATTTTTGCTGAAATTATTATTATTATTGTTGTTATTTTATTGCTGTTATTATTATTAAATTGATGTTATTTTATTGTTATTTTATTATTCATATTGCTGTTATTATTACTATTGGTAGTTGGTATATATGTATATATATGAAAAAACGATAAAAATAACACAAATAACTTTTATTTATAATTAGATATATTAAACTATATTATATTATAACAAAGTAGTATTATTAACAAATTTATTAAATGGTGAAATTACAGATAATAATTTAGTTGAAAAACTGGCTTTGCCATTGTTAACTAAACTTCTATTAGTAACTGAGGCTAATTTGGTTAATGATCTAATCATGATTAAATATTTATTTTTGTACTATTAATTGAAACTATTTTAATTGAACTATTATAAAGTATAGAAAAACCTCGTATAACAATTGTTGTTTTAATTTTAAAAAACAAAAATATATATTAATAGCAAAACAAAAAAGAAAAAAATAAAATAAAATAACACAAAATCACAAAAAAAAAAAAATTTAAAAATTTAAAAAAAAAAAATTTAATAAAATTAAAAAAAAAAAAAAAAAAAAAAAATTGAACGTTTGGTATATTTACCAAAGTTATCAAATTTAACAAATAAAAAAATTTAAAGTTGTCAATAAAAAAAGAATATCTACAAATAATTATTAATTATTGGTATAAAGTAAAAATTTTTTTTTTAAATGTAATAGTTTAAAATTTAATATTTTCTTAGTTTTTTTTAACACACTTTTTCAGATTTGTAAAAATTTAAAAAATTATTACAGTCACTATGGCACGGTGTGTTTTAAATATTTATTACTAAACTTAAATTTTGAAATAAAAAATATCCTATAAGATGATAAAGGAACAATTATTTATTGGTTTATAATGTTTAATTTTCTTTTTATAATTTTGGTATATAAAAAAAAAAAAAAATAATAATAGTTTTTATTCTGGTTAATTTATTATTTATTTTCTTTATCGTTGTAGATTGATGATGAAAATGATTGTGAGCCAACTAATTTCGTTTGAATATAATCTATATAGTCACTTAAGTATTGAGAGATTTCTTCGCATTCGTTAGTTTGGAATAATAAACGGCCTTCTTCGTAATCACCAAAATCCAAGGTAAAAGTTTGTAAATCTTTATGATATGCCCACCGCTTAAGATGTGATAGTGGGTATTCGACCAAAAACTTTTTGTTTTTAGCTGTCATAAAGAGGATGCATTTTCTACTGAAGCCCAACAATAAAGGTTGATTGTAGGGTATCATTGTGGGGGAACTGCTACCACTGCTGCCGCTACCGCTGCTACCACTGCTATTATTGCCACCTCCAGTAATGACTGAGCCAGCACCGATTATACTGCTGGTTATTGATAGTGGAGATGAAGAAGAGGATGATAGGGACGAGAGTGACGATGATCTACTTTCGGATTTGGTGATGAGTTGGCGAACAGAAAAGAAAATTGCGCCAAAGGTTTTTAGTGATCTACATAACTGCACATATCTATACTTTGCATATACCTCCTTGATACCACGAAGATTTTGATGCTCTTTATAGATACTCTTTTCGATTTTTTGAAAGCTTAAACCATAGAACTCCAAACTATTGGGTGGTAAGAAGAACTTTAGGTCCTGGCTTTTGAGAAAACCTGGTTTGTGAATATTTGGATTATGATCACCAAAATTAATTTGAAACAGTGTTGCTGCCAATTGAATTGCCTCATCTTTTGAACAAGTATAGGTATTGGAAATGATTGCATCTTTTGATTGAAAAAACAACAGATTAAAATAAACTGGGTCACTATTGCAATCATCGGCTGCTCCAATATCACTAGAATAAAATTTCTTTTTAAACATTAATTTGGCATCTGGCAAAATTGATTGCTCTGATAATGGCTGGTATGGTTTTAACCAAATACCCCCATTTGATAAGATTGAATCATCATTTGAACTATTAAGATGATGATGATTATTACTATTACTAAAACTACTATTATTACTATTATTTACATTTGTATTTAAACTATTTAAATTTAAATTTGAACTATTTACAATATAACTATTATATAATACACTATTATTTACACTACTATTAATATCATTACTATTGATATTATTCATACTATTACCACTACTAAAACTACTATTACTATTATTACAATTCCCAATTACTTGAAGTGAAAATTCTTCGGTATTCTTAATACCTAATTTTAATCCAATCTCTTGAGTAATCTCTGCCACAGTCTTTTGTTCGTCTACAATAAAACTTTTTACTTTTTTATCTGAAAACCTTACGACTATTTCTCTTTCTTTGGCAGGTGATGCTAAGAAGAATAAAAAAAAAAAAAATTAATATTTACAAAAAAAATAATTTTAATTATAATAATTATTAATTCTAAAACTTACTTTTTGAAAATGATAAAATCATTTTTGATGATAAATCTGTCAAAACCTTTAAAACTTTGGTAACTTTGTTATCTTTGTTTAATTCTTTTGAAACCATTGATCCATTAATTTGAGTTGATAAAGGATTGATATATAATTTTTTAGGCTCTATGTATAAATGGCATTTTTTAAGTATGAGATTATCTTGATATTTCCAACGATTATCCTTTTTTGAGGTGGGTTGATCGTAATCTACTGAATCATTGGAACAATTTGAACAAGTTGATAAACGTTTTCTTGAAGTTAATGAATTACGTCCAACTGATATATAGTTTTGATCCCATTGTTTTTGAATCGATGGTGTATTTCTTAGACTATAATGAATATAAGATGAAAGGACATGTGAAATAGCCTCAGCTTCGTTAGAGATGAAACTTTCTTTTTTATCATTAAATTCGATGGAGAAGACGTTGTTTAAAATTTGCCATTTCTTTATATTACTAAGAGAATACAGGTTTATGGTCTTACTTGACTCTGGATCCAAAATTAGAATGGCTTCGGGTGAAATGCCAAAAAGTTGTGATTGTGGTTGTGATGATTGTATTGATCTAGAAATAACCCTAAAGAATGTATAACCATATGTTTTAAGTGATTTGGCCAATTGAATGTAATTGAGCTTTGCTTTTTGTTCAGACATACCCGCTAAACGTTGGTATTGAATTAAAATTTCTTTTAAAATTCCTTTTTGGTATGTATATTCTAGTGGTAGGAAATCTTTAAGACGAATTTGGTCCATCTCTTTAGAATTTGCTACATAGTCACCAAATGAAATTTGACATTGTAAAGCAGCAAACAATATACTCTCTGTTTGGGTGCAAGGATGAGATGAATCGATGATGGCATCTAAACATTGGCAAAATACAAAGTGTGACATTTCTGGATCCATACTAAAATCGATAATAATATCTTTACAAAAGAAAAACTGACGCTTTAAAAGGAATATAGTATATAGTGGATCGATGTTTTGCTCTGGTAGCGCTAAATCGGATGATAGCCATACACCTCTTGTATCATCTTCTTCACACTGACGCTTTAATGAAAGCTCCTCTGGATATTTTAGTTGTAGTTTCTTTGCTAAATCGGCTGATATTTCTGATACTGTTTTACTTTCATCAATTACAAATGTTTTAATAGTTTCATCTAATAGCATTGTTGATTGATGTAATGGATGAACAACTCTTTCCCATGGACCAAAAAACCTAATCTTTAGTACATTTTTTGTTGTCTTAAACTCTAATGTCTCATTTGAATCAATTTCATAAAAAGCTAAAGTTTTATCCAGTTGTAACCATCTTGCATTTCTAAAAGATCCTGACTGTTGAAATAACCCATAATTTTCAATTGTACCCCATGTTGAAGAAGTTAACTTATTTGCTGTTGTTGTTGCTGTTGTAGTTGTTGTGGTGGTGGTGGTGGTAGTAGTCGTAATATTGTTATTATTATTAAGATTATTATTTACTAATGATAATAAATTATTGGATGATAAATTCTTTTGTTTTTCAATAATTTCCATTCTTTCTTCATTTAACACTCTTTCGTAGATTTGATTTATTATTTTATCTATTGTGCTATAAATTGAAAATCTCATTGTAATAACACGGTTCTGTCTTACTAACTTGATCTTTATAGGCTTGGAGATGGTTTGCAATGATAAATGATTTGGGTGTAACCTATATACCATAAAATTTATTAATTTTTCGATTAATGGTAATGGAATTTTCTGTAAATCTTGATTATTATATTCCATTTTTTCCATAATGGATATAAAACATAGCTCTACCAATGATAACACCATTTTTTTTTTTTTATTTTATTAATTTTATTAAAACTATTAATATTTTATTATTTTAAAACTTTAAATATCTTTATTTATGTTGATGTTATTATAATTATTATTATTATTTTTATTTTTATTTTTAAATGGGCAATTAAAAATATTTATATTTAAAAAAAAAATAAAAAAATTGATAAATTTTAAAAAAAAAAATGAAAAAAGAGATGTAGTATTAAAACTATTAATAACTATTAAATTGTTTTAATAATAATAATAATACTATTATTATTATTATTAATTGTTGTTATTGTCTTATTTAATAAATATAAATAAATATTAAAAAATGAAAAAAAAAAAAAAATTTAATTTAAATTTAATTTAAAAAAAATAAAAATAAAAAAAAAAATAAAAAAAGTTATATAGGTGTGTTATGTACTAATTTTATTTATTTTATTTTATTTTATTTTGTTTTGTTTTGTGTGTTTTATATTTATATATATTATTGTGAGTTTGTATATGTAAACAATTGTACTAAAATCGAGAGTAAAAAAATTTTTAATGTAAAAAATAATTTTTTTTTTGACACAATTTTATTTTATTTTTTTTAAAAAAAATTTTTTAAAAATATCTAAGTGTTTGTTTTTTTTATAATTTTTTATCAACAAAAAAATTATTAGAACCAATATGCTTTTTTTGTAAGTGGTTTGATTTTTGAAGATTCTATTTACTGTTTTATGTTGTGTGATACACAACAAACCAATAGTCAAAGAAAAGTGATACTACAATTATAATACACAGAAAAAGTTGATTTCTTTTTTTTTTCACCTTTTTTTTTTTTTTTTTTTTTTTTTTCTATTTACTAGTTTTTATTATTGTAATTCTAAAAATAATTTTTTTTTTTTATATTGCGTTCCAATTTATTAGGATAAAAATAACATAAACTAAACTTAATTAATATAATCACACACACAAACTATCACACGATATTGTGTGTGATATTATTTTGGGGTTGAATGTGAGTTTGAAAATAATTTATTTTTTTCTTTTATTTTAAAATTTTTATTATAATTTTATTTTATTTTTATTTACATACAAAAATATTCAAACGGTTTTAATATAATAAAATCAAAATATTAAAATTTAAAATAAACTATTTTTTTTATTTTTTTTTTATTATTTATTTTATTATTCTTATGTAAATTATTTTCATTATATAAATAATTTTTTTTTTTTTCCTTATAATAATATTTACTTTTTATTGTAATATATTTTGTACATTACCATTATTTTTTTATTCATAATTTATTTATTATAATTCTTAAAGAGACTAAAAAGAGTAATAAGAATAATAATTAATTTAAAAAGGTAAATATAATATTAACTATTTAAATATTTTTTTTTTTCCATTTTAAAATTATTTTTTTTTATTTCAATTATCAAATATATAAATTGCATCAATCAAAATATAAATCATTTTAATATATTTAATTATAATTAATAGTAAAACAAAATGTGAGTTTTTTTTTTATTTTTTTTTTATCAAAAAGTAACTTTATATCCAAAGAACAATAATATAACGGATAAAAATTTATATTTTTTGTTTTGTTATAATAATTCAATAAATTTAAATAAATTTTAGTTTTTTCTAAAAACCAAAATCATAAAAAATAAAAAAAAAATAATTTTTTTTTTTTTTTTTTTTTTTGCAAAAATTTGGCTCAAAAAAAAAAAAAAAATAATATATTTATAACTAATTTATTAATAATCAACAACAATTTTATTTTTGTTCTTTTTTTTAAAAAATTTATTTATCTTTATACTTTTATAGTATGTAATTATTACTTTTCTTTTTTGTTTATCTCTATTCATTAGGTTTTCATCCCAAACTAAAGTTTATATTTGTTATTTTTTTATTTTATTTTATATAATTTAAATAATTTAAATTTATACACTCACACACAACACACGCAATACATCAACAATTTAAATTTTTAAACACTTACTCTAAACACTCTTTCTCTTTTTTTTACACACCCTTATCATCACCATCATTATAATCAAAATATAATCACC